ATATATGATGATAATAATTGTTCTGTTGAAATTGCATCAAGTGGTTGTAATCCCTTTTGAGCTCTTAATTTATTCCAATGAGAAATTGTGGAATTAATTGATGTTGTTGGTGCTGCATTTGATAGATTGATACCTGTACCAACAATAACTTTATAATTGTCTTTCAAAACATTTGTATTAACTAAAATACCACAGATTTTCACATATGAAGGTTCAGTGTCATTAGGACCAATTTCTTGATCAAAATATTCAGGTTTCATTGCATAAACATCATTTGGCCATTTTATTCTAATTGGTAATTCCTCATAACCATTTCCAAGTGATTTAACAGCTTCAACAACAGCCAAACTTGTTAAATATTGAACAAAAACAACAGGTGCATGTTTATAGGATATTGGTAAATCAAGAACAACAGAGCTTGCAACCACACCAGGTGGATTGATCCATAAATTACCACCTCTACCACGACCTGAAACTTGAACTGTCGCAGTGGTAAAAGTACCTGATGGAATATTTCTCAAAATGTTAAAATTCTTGTCTAAAATTGTTGACGTTGAAGTAATAACTTCACCATAAATCATAGTGGAACCAGTAGTATCACTTTGTATTGATCCACATTGTTCTTGCAAGAGTCTAAAGTATTGTTTTATATCAAAATAAGGTGTCAATTTACGGTCAGGTAATGAATCATCAAATACATATAATTCTTTAACAATAGTATCTGGATCTTCAAATTCTGTTTGTTTGTCAAGTTGATGGGTAACTGTTGGTTCTTCACCTTGATGTAATCTAAAAGTATCTGTGTTCCCTTCTATTAAATCTTTTGACTCACCAGTTAATCCAACTTCATCGATAATGTTTTTAATTATGGTGTTTGCTTGTCCATTAATTGGGGAGGATAGCATTAATGGTGTTATTCTTGGCCTTATTAATTCACTTTCGTTAACTGTTAAACCAAATTTTTGTAAACATGCCTTTAAAAATGCTAAACGAGATTCATTAGTCTCTATTAATTTTTCCACAATCTTGGTATAATGTTCATCTTTAAATTCTTGTTTCAAGATTTCTGGAACCCATTCTGGATGTGTACCTGTGAGAATAGCTGAACCTTTACCAACTTTTGAATGAATAACAGCAGCTGGGATTGTACCATATTCAACATCAATATTGTCCTTATAAGAAGCTAAAATTTCCACATTATCATATTTTTCAGCATCAACAAATACAGAACCACCATTATAATAATGAGAACTTGTATCAGAATCAATATTCAGCGCTGATTTATTCACCGAGAGTTCAGCAACATTAGATCCTGATTCAGCACCATATTGGAATCCAGAAAATGCAGGACCTCTAGCAGTACCTGGGAATAATTTCAATTCTCTTGAACCACTAACTTCCAAATGTGGATTACCCACTGCAAATTCACAACGAGCTGAACCGTAGTATCCACCTGCACAAAATCCCAAATAATTACCACCTTTACGAATATAATCCTTGATGATGGCGTTGGTGACACCATTTAATTCTCTGCATGTTGGAATATCAGCACCACCTGGGAACACTAATAACGAGGTCTTTGCTGCCCAAGGTTCGTTTCTTAAAGTCTTGGAGTCCACACCTACCACTGCATAATAAGGAGAAAGAAATCTTCTTAAAGATTCTAAACAGTGCTTGACGGAATCTGGAGTTGTTCCTGGTCCTGTTTTCACCCTATTGTTAGTATCACATCACGATTCACCAGTGATAGGAACCAAAGAATACTAACCTGAGTATACTAAGACGTTCATTCTGTTAATGTTTGGTCTGAATAATGATTTTATCTGTGTAGCGAGAGAAGATTTCAGCCCTCCAAACAAGTTCATATACTCAATTTCCTGAGTTTGTTCACTTCAAATTTGAATCAACGAATCTCGTTTGTTTTGAGTCAAATTGATTCATCTCGGCTGAACTGCCCGCGAAAAAAATTGTTGAGAGTTGAACTTTTTGCAGTAAAATAGCAGCAAATCAGTCAGAAGACTCATTGGAAACCCAGTTGGAAGCCGTTATTCTGGAGCCAAAAGACTATGTTCAAGATACAATTGCAGTGCTATCGCCAGGGCCTACGCTTGGTCAGTTCAAAAGGAGCACAGGGCTCCATACTCAGCTCAGTAGTGAAATCTAGATTACCGATTAATCTCCATCAACAAAGCATATCTATAAGGTCTTTTTCCCAATTTCAACCTTTATTACAACAGCAACAACAAAATAACCAACCAAAACCAAAATTGAGTAAAGAATTAGGAACAAAATTCAAACAAAATGTCGAAAAATCCAAAGAAATTAAAGAAAAATTGACAAAACCAATTAAAGATCTAATACCTGAACATGAAAATATTTACACCATACCCAACATTTTAACATTCACAAGATTAATCTCAGCTCCAATAATAGGTTGGTTGATCGTTAAGCAACAAATCATTTACGCACTAGGATTATTTGCATACTCATGTATAACAGATTTCATAGACGGTTTTATTGCAAGAAAATTCAAAATGCATTCTGTTGTGGGTTCAATTATAGATCCAATGGCTGATAAATTCTTAATGGTGATTTGTACTGCATGTCTTGCTCAAGCTTCACAAATTCCTTTATATTTAGCAGTGGTAATCTTGGGGAGGGATGCACTTTTAGCCATTTCTGCATTTTATTATAGATATATTTCATTACCAGCTCCAAAGACAATTATAAGATATTTTGATTTTAGTATCCCATCTGCAGAAGTTCATCCAACTACAATTTCTAAATATAATACTGGATTCCAAATGTTATATATTGGTGCAGCAGTTGTTAAACCTGTTTTATTGACTGTTATTGAACCAACTTCTATTGATTTATTAGAACAATGTTTCACAGGATTTGGTTATTTTGTTTGTTCAACTACAATTTTGAGTGGATTATCTTATGTGTTTTCTAATAATGCAGTCAAAATTTTGAACCAAACAAAGAAATAATATAGATCACACACAATGTTTATATATATATGAATACTGCGTTAAAATAATAATATTCACTTCATGAACTCAAATGTAAAACATTCATTTTCTTCTTTATACAGAAATTGGGGGTATTTAATTATCGACTAAATGTAATATCATCAATACGTAAGATGGATTTAACAGTTTCTGAAGCTAATGTAATAGCACTTGTACTAACAAGTACTGGTTGTAAAACATGTTCATCATAAGTATTTGTAGTAGCTGAACGACGAACTGAGATACCTGCATTACGTTCACCTCTTTCATGTCTATTACGTAAATCTGTAACAACATTAATACTATTCAAACCAGCATTTTCAGCTAATGTTGTTGGAATAACTTCTAAAGCTTCAGCATATTCATTCCAAATGAAAGCTTCAGTACCTGATAATGATCTTGCTTCTTTCATTAGAGTTCTTGAAACTTCAATTTCTGGGGCACCACCACCTGCAATTAAAGCTTTTTCTTTAACTAAACAACGGATAACACATAATGCATCATGTAATGAACGTTCAGTTTCATCCAAGACTAAATTATTAGCACCACGACAAATAACTGAAACAGTTGGATTTGTAACATTTTTAACACCACTTATTTTAACAATTTTAGAACCTGAAGATTCAGTTTCTTCAACTAAATCTGCTGTACCTAATCTATCTTCAGTAAATAATTCAACATCTGAAATTGGTTTACATGCTAAACTTTTACTTAAAAATTCAATTTCATCACGCTCCACATCTTTAATAACTAATATACCTAATTTTGATAAGAAATGTAAAGATAAATCATTAACAGCATCTCTTAAAATTGATTTTTGAATTAATAAAACATTACATTTAGCTTTCTTGACTTTTTTACAAATATTTAATAAATATGCTCTTTCTTCTTTCAAAATTTTATCCATTTGTCTATAATCATTAACAACAACGTTATTTTCCATATCTGGTTTTGGTGGAGATAATTGAAATTGAATTAAGCCAATCTTAGCTTTTTCAATTCTTGTTGGACCACCTGCATTTTTAACAACATTTTGAGTTAATACAACACCATCAACTAATTCAGTATCATCAATAGTACCACCAACTTTCTTTATAAGTCTGATATCATTTAAATCAACATTATTTGATTCTGTATTTGTAATTTTCAAAACTGAATCAACAGCCAATGGACCTAATAAATGACTATGTTGACTAACAATTTTGGAACTTAATGAAGTTGAAGCTGCACGAATTAAAGCTTCACGATCATCTAAAGAAATTTTTGTTGACATATCTAATAAGATTTCTACTGATCTAGCAGCAGCTCTTTGGAATGATTCAGCAATGATTGTTGGATGAATACCTTTTTGTAATAATTTTTCAGCAGCACCTAATAAAGCACCAGTTAAGATAACAACAGAAGTTGTACCATCACCAGCTTCAACATCTTGAGCACCGGAAACATCAACCAACATACGAGCAGCTGGATGAAGAACCGCCATATGTTGAAGAATTGTGTGACCATCGTTGGAAATGATGATTTCACCTTTACCGGTCTTGATCATCTTATCCATACCTTTTGGACCTAATGAAGTTCTAATGGCATCTGCAACTGCTCTGGCAGCTAATATATTTGATTTTCTAACCTCTTGAGGTTTTTCTTTGTTCTTGAAAGTGGCATTGGATGGGGCTACTGCCTTTGGTGCTGCCATTGTGATCTAAGTAATTGACAATTGAACCTTGAATGAGATTGAAGTCCACTAACTTTCCAGATCTGATTTATTTGCCTTTGATTTCAACTTTTCGCTATGTTTTAATTATTTTCAACGCGTTCAATAAAAAAATTGGAAATGGCAACATCCGGGTAAAATTATGTAAGCAGATCATCACTACTAGTGAATAAATTATATGTACTTGTATAAAAGCGATGAGTTCCCTTTGATTTCTACAAAAGTTCTTACCAAATTTTCATAAAGGATGAGTGAAGACGGAGCACACGTATTCCATAAGATCCCAGTGACAAAAGAACAGATCGTTAACTGTTCTTTCAGTTCATGGTACCCTAAATACAAGAAACATGTACCAAAAGCTCATATTATTAAGCCACTTCCACAGAGTTTTATAGATTATTTGTCAAGTGATGGGATAGAATTACCAGATGATGGTCATTATGCAGTCAATGTCGGTGATGGTGATAATGAGTATAGTGACTGGTCAAGTGATAGTGATAATGATGAGGGTGATGAGAGTGCTGATGAAGAAGATGATGGGCAAAAAGTTAGTCAAGGTAAAAAAAATACATTTGAACAGTTCAAAGAAGTACATGAAGATATCAAAGATTATATTCGTCAAAATGGACCTGTTACACCTAAATTGAACTGGTCAGCTCCAAGAGATGCAACATGGATCCTTACTTCCAATACAATGAAATGTGAAAATGCATCAGATGTCTATCTATTGTTAAACTCATCCAATTATATTACTCATGATTTATCTAGTGGATTTGCTGGTGTTGAAGAAGAAGAAGAAAATGATACTAAAAAAGAAACAGAATTAGAGTTTGAATTAGTCTTGAGGAAATGGTTCAATATTAATCCTGCATTGGAGTTTAGATGTTTTGTTAAAAATAGAAAAATCATTGGTGTTACTCAAAGAGATTTGAATTATTATGATTATCTTGATAGTTTATCAGAAAAAATACGGGACTTGATTGATGATTTCTTTGAAGAAGTTCTTATTGATAGTTTCCCAGATGATAATTATGTCTTTGATGTATACTTACCAAGACCTTTTGATAGAGTTTGGTTAATTGATATCAATCCATTTGCAAGAAAAACAGATCCACAATTATTCACATGGCACGAATTGGCAATAACTGAAGTTACTGATGATTTTGATTATGATTTGAGACTAATTACAGAAACTAATAAAGGTAGATTTGCTGTTAAAGAACATTCTGAAAATCAAGTGCCACAAGATGTTGTTGATGCTTCTTATGATCCGTCATTGATGGTTGAATTGGCCAAAGAATGGAGAGAACTTCAGTTGAAACAAGAAGAAAAAGAAGAGGAAAAAGAGGAAAAAGAAGAAAAATAATGAATCCATGTTAATGTATATAGATTAAATAGTATTTCATGTAATTTGTTTTTGAAGTTCTCGGATATATCTACGTAGGAAAATCAAAATATCATTAAACTATCTACAAACAACCATCAACATCACCAAGATCACCATCATCAAATGCTCAATATTCAAGATGTCATCCACGATCAATGATAATTCAACAAACACAAGTTATGAAACTCACACATTAGATGCCGATGATAACAACAATGCTGATTCAATTGAAAAACTATGCTCAAATGTCATATTAGCGCTTGATGGGAATATGAAAAGAATTGGTGGATGTTGCTTTGATATTGAACAAAAAAGCATTTGGATAATTGAAGATATGAGGTTTTATAAATCAGATTTCAACGAATTTCTTTCTGCAATTAATAAAAGTTTGTTTTGATACCTTTGTACTTTGTTAAAAGATAGCCGCTGTGTGAGATCTTAAAATACTGACATTTGATTTCATAAAGTTTTATCTGTTCTTGAACCTGAAAAGGTAATTCTATCTACAAGAATAGATGAAGATATACTAAAAGAAGTTGAAACACAAAGTGAGTTTGAATACTAGGTATACTTGTTGATGTGTGTTTATACTAACATTGGGAAATCATCAAGGTCAAATAAAAAATTTCATTATAGATACAGTCACATCCAAATCGTTCGCAAGCAGTGCTGGTGCTAGAGTTATCAACTCAATTATATCGATATTAGATGAAGGTGATCAATTATATACTCCTTTGAATACTCTCAAATTCTCAAAATATTCATCCATTGCTGTATGATTATACCAGTGTCTTTAGCATTGGGGGTTCATAACTAACATTGATTATAAAATAGTTGGGTTGTTTCAATGCAGTCTCTTCAGCACTAGAATCTGAGTTTAGAGATCAAAATATTGATGCAGAGCTAGGGCCTCTATTTGTGAAGGCTGAATATTTTACATTGTGAGTATTAAAGTAACAAAACTTTTTATAGATGAGAAACAATACTAACATTTCATTCAAGCTCTGACATACTATACATCGAAACAGAAACATTACACGATCTTCATATTATGGATAAACCTAATTATAAAAGATCAAATCAAGGTCATAAAAGAATGAAGTCATTATTTGAAATTTTAGATTTAACAGGTTCAAAACAAGGTAGTTTTCAGTTAAGGAAATGGTTCAAAAGTCCACTATGTAATAAACAGATGATAAATGAAAGATATGATGTTATAGAAGTAATGAAGGCTGATGAAAATATGCAATATTTAGAAAATATTGGATCTCATTTAAAACAACTTCCAAATGTCAACAATATCTTGACTTCATTTCAAGTTGGTAATTCCCCTCCAAAAAGCTGGTTCAACATATCCAGGTTCCTAGAAGAGACAATTTCTATATATAGAGAGATTTGTACAATATTTCTGAGATTAGAAAACCCACCAGCTATTATAAACCAAATAGTTGAAACAATTAAACCAAGGATGTTCAGTGACTTACAAAATGAAATAAAAAGAGTGATTGATTTTGAATCTTCAAAAAGTTGGAATAAAGTAATGATAAACCAGGAAGTGTTATCCACTGGTGAAAGAACTGGTAAAACATACAAAGATATTGATAATGTATTATATGGAGCTATTACAAAATTACAGCACATGTTTCCTCATATTCCTGGTGATGATCTTGGTATTATTTTCTTACCTTCTTTAGGATTCTTGATTTCAATTGATGAACAAAGTATAGATTTAGCTATCCCAAATTGGAACCAAGTTTTCAGCTCTGAATCAACAATCTATTTTAAAGATGAGATGACTGCATCATTAGATGAAGAAAACGAGTTCTTATATGAAGAGATTATTGAAGGTGAGATTGAAATTATGCATGAGTTACAGACATTGGTTTTAAGTGTTGGACTTCAAATTTCAGAAGCTAGTAAAGTGTTAGCAGAGCTAGACTGTTATGTTGCATTGACTAAAGTGTCACTACTTATGGGATTTGTGCGCCCTGAAATTGTTGATACCAATGAAATCACTATTAGAAAAGGAAGAAACCCAACATATGAACAAATCGTCTCTTCTTATATTCCAAATGATACATCAATTGAAAATGGTGATATTTCAGTGATCACGGGGGCTAATGCTTCAGGAAAATCTGTTTATATGTTTCAAGTTGCAATCATTGTATTTTTAGCCCATATTGGATCTCACGTTCCTGCTGAATATGCAAAAATTGGTCTCACTGATAAAATTTTAGCAAAAGTGACCAGTACAGATTCATTAGATAGATGTGAAAGTACATTCTCTTTAGATCTTCACAAGATGAATAAATGTTTGAATATGGCAACTGAAAAAAGTCTTTTACTTGTTGATGAATTTGGTAAAGGGACAGATGTTATAGGTGGTCCATCTCTTTTAGGAGCTTTGATTGAAAATATATCCAAACAACAAAATAGACCAAAGCTTATGGTTACTACACATTTTCATGAGTTATTCAAAGAAGGTATTCTACATGACATTCCTCAAGTTAAACATAGTCATATGGATATATTATTAAAAAAAGGAACAGATGATGGAGGGAAATCTGAAGAAATTACTCATTTATATCAATTGAAACCAGGTGTTGCGATGAACAGTTTTGGTATTGAGTAAGTATTCCAAAATTTTATACACTTGAGTCCTAACTAATTAACTTTTATAGATGTGCAAAAATATGTGGAATACCAATGGATATTATCAAACGAGCTCAGGAAATCTCGAATAATGAGAATAGCTCACTAGGTGATATTACTACTAGAGATGAATTAGATCAACAGATGATAAATATCGATAAAGCTGTAAGTATGATTCATGACAAACATCAATGCAACTTTACTAACGCCTATTAATAGAAAGAGATAACTAGAGAGTTCCTCATTTGGGATTTAGACTTGGATATGGAGAAAGGTGAAGAAAATGAGCTTCAAGTGAATCTGGAGATCAAAGAAAAATTGGTCAACATTTTACAAATGTGATACTGGAAGCCCTACAATATATTTTGTATCAATCTTCATGAATGCAGCTTTTCTATTAATTTGCTTAAAAACATAATCTAACAAGTATTATATATAAAACAGGATTTGTACAGATCTAACATTAAAATTTGACAGATTTTGATAAATTCTTTTTGATACCAGTTTTTTCACCTTCATAAGCACCAGTAGGTTGAGTAAATACAGCACGAGTAGATTTGAGTTTCTTTTGAGCCTTTTCGTACTTCTTTCTCTTCTTAACACGTGAATTTCTGTTATCCTTCTTACGATGTGGAGTTAGACCTTTGTTCTTCAAAATTTGGTAATTAATAGCACGTTTACCATCATCACCAAGATCTTCTTGTAATTCGGCCAATCTACCTTCTTTAGCAGCTTTGACAGCTTGTTCATGAGCTTCTTTTCTTGCAGCTTTACTTTCAGTTTTATTAGATTTAAGTGTGTTGTAGTAATCGTCATCGAAGCCACCATTCACTTCTTTAGCATCTTTTTCATCTTGTGAATCATAATCACCTTCGGCATCTAAATCAGCACCATTATCATCACGTAAACCACGTTTACGAGCTTCCTCTATTAGCCTTTGTTGTCTTTCAAATAAACGTTCTTTATATGGAATATCCAAATCACCGGTATATTTCTCATCTTTCTTCTTAGCTTGTTGATCAATTTTAGAGGTGTAGAAACGTAAGGTACGTTTACGACTTTTCTTTTCTTCAGCATCAACATCTGCAATATCACCTTCAGCAAAATCTTCAGTAGCTTGTGGTTTGACTTTTTTGAAATTACGTGGTTTGGAAATATCAATTTCTAAGTCACTTTCTGGCTCATTATCTGGGATTGAATCAGCTTCCTCACTTGCAGAATCAAAGACATCATCATCACTTGATTCATCATCTGAACCTTCTAGTTGTTCTTCATTATTAGCAGTGGTATCGACTAGTTCCTCATCATCTGATTCAATATCTTCAACATCTTCCAATTCTTCAGCTTGTCTCCATACTTCTTTTGAACTCAGTATACCTTCCATAACTGGATGTTCTTTTAATGAAAATGGTTCCTCTTCTTTTAATGAAGCTAAAAATATAGCAAAATATGAACTTATAGCACCTAAGTAAGCTGATAAAGCAGTGAATTTAACATTTGATACTTCACTTTGATCTTTTTGTTCTCTTAATTCGTCTAAAATTGGTTTTAATCTTGATAATTCTTTTGATAATGGGAAGAATTCTGGATGTGCGCTGATTATATGTTTCTTCTTAGCTTTAGGATCTAAATTCACAAAATTTTGAGCAGAATCAGATTTTTCACTAGTGGAGGGAAGTGTATTACCAAAATCATGTTTTTTAGCACTATTTTTCCATTCTTCTTCAAGTTCTTCATCAACGTAATCATCCAACTCAAGTTCTTCCAAATGTTTCTTTTGCATACGAAGAGCCTCTTCTTCTTGTAATTTAGCAGCTTCATCGTCATCTAATTTATCAGCACCATAATATGCACTTTTTCTTGAACCCCAAGCGGTATCATCATCATCTTCAAGGTCTTCAAGATCTTCATCTTTTTTACCAAAAAATTGTTCGTCATCATCATCTTCGTCCTCATCTTCTTCACTAAGTTCTACTTGACTATCATCATCAACACCCATAACTTCCTCATCACTATCTTCATCATCATTTCCTTGATAAATTGGATGTGAATCGTCTAAGAGTAATTTATCCTTTGCAGCATGGAATGCATCAACTTCAGTCATACCAAAGTCCTCTTCAGGAACCTTGCTTGGTTTTGATTGTCTTCCTTTAGATCTTGCCATTATGCTCTGGTATTTGCAATCCTAAACAATAACCTTTCTTTCCAATCTATAAATGCACACTTTATTTAATGCTTAGTGATTTTTGTATATAAATTTTTGTAAATAAGCGTGGTCTTACCGAAAAGTTTTCAGTGCTGCGATGAGATCAGGGTAAAAAGCGCGCATTTGTTCTGTCAAAAATCAGCGGTTCTTTTTTAGCACCGTTAATAATTTTTAAGCTTCTGTTTTGACATCAATAAAGACTTACAAACTAGATCGAAGATTGATTTATCGTTCGAGTCAAGTCCATTTCTTTCAATTATCCTACCCAAATCAAATATAGTGCACAATGTCTGACAAGATACCCACAAGCTCACGTCTTGACTCATTGTCTCGTCGCTCAACTCCAGCTTCCAAACCTGGACTGAAATTCAAACCAAAAGTTGTTGCAAGAAGAAGTAAAGAAGAAAGAGATGCAGAAGCCCCAGTCAACGCCCCAGAATCATCCAGACCATCCAATCGTGGTAATGCTAATAGAGGAAGAGGTGCCAGTCGAGGAGGTAGAGGAGGTCGTGGTGGTAGAGCCTTAGCCGGTACACATTTAGTCACAGCTGGTCCATTAGCTTCAGGTAATGTATTAAATCAAACAGGTTCCTTCTCAAGAGCCGGTACTGCCTCACCAACTCCTGATTATTTGTCCAATCTTGTTAAAAGGGAAGGATCAGCTTCAAGAGCTACATCAGTTGGATTAGAATCAGATGATGAAGATGATCCATCAAAAATTGATATGAGTAAAGAATACAAATTTGATCCAGAACATACAGAATTATTTCCAGTCAGACCAGTTCGTAATGCACATGTTGATGATAGTAAAGACTCATATGGTGAACGTGAAGAACGTTCTGTTTCACCAGAATTTGTGGAGACTGGCTCAAATATTACTGAACCATCATTAGTCAAAGAAGAACCACAAGAAAAAGATTTAACTTCTGTTTTGAAAGAAAAAGACACAGACTTACAAAAGAAACTAAATGAGCTACAACTACAAAATGAATTTTTATCTGTTGATCCTACAGAAGCTAAAGAAGAAACCGAGAGATTGAATAAAGATCATAGATCAATTGTTAAATCAATCATTGATGCCGATAATAAACCAGAGAAATTTTTATTCGTTCAACTACCTAGAGTGCTGCCAAATTTTGAACAAGACGAAATTGCTAAATTAACAAGAAATGCTAGAATAGCTGCAACAAAACCTGCGCCAATTAAAGAAGAAGGCGATGGGGAAGGTGACTTAAATGTTAAAGATGCACCAACCACAGCAAAACCTACCACTGCTGCTCCACAAAAACCAGACGGAGAATTAGATGAATTGGAAGGTCTTATTGGTAAATTGAGAGTTCATAAATCAGGAAAAGTTACAATGAAGTTGGGAAATGTTGTTATGGATGTTGGTAAAGGTTCACAAACCAATTTCTTACAAGAGGTTGTTCTAGATGAAGGTGAAGCTGAAAAGTCTGCTTACTTGCTAGGTCATCTTGAGGAAAAAGTCGTAGTTACCCCTAGATTTGGATAAACAATCCTACTTCATCTATTATACGCTTTTATCTAAGGTAATTTTTTTTTTTGAATTTCATAAAATTTTGTAGTTTATGTGTCTGCGGCGCATACCGTATTTTAGCGTGCTTATGTCATCAATTTTGTGATAAGGAATTAATATTAGGTAGCTCATCAACACAAATAGCCATGGCTCTACAAAGCCTAAAGCCGCCACCTTAACTGAAGCACCACAAACCATTGAAAAAGAAGTAATTAGTGCCAAATAAGAACAGTATCAGATATTATACACATCAATTGGTGATTGAACGCATGCGTTGAGCTGGTGATTACAACTATGACATCCCATCAGCCACCCACCTTCTTGTCTCGTGTATTTGGTGCCAACTCTAACGTGAGGGATGAGACAGAGTTATCCAGTATAAGAGATGGTTATAATTCACAAGGCGCTAGTAATAATCATTCACTGCTTGGTGGTAGTGGGAGAGGCCGTAATAGGTCATTGATAGAGTCGGATCAAGAGGAAAGTGAATCAGATCATGAATTTGCATATGAAGAGGATGATGATGATGAAGACGATGATCTATACCACCCACAAGACTATATTACCAAGAATGATAACAAGAATGGAACTCGTCAAAATTCAAATGATACTGATAACCCTAATCAACTTGATTTCATCAATGAAGGAGACCATGAACAAGAAGATGTACCCATATCGATCATGGTTCAACCTGATAATAATAAACAAAAACAACCTTCCAGAGAGACATTGAATAGAAAAAACTCTTTCAAAGACCAAATAGGAAGAAAAATCAACTTTCCCAAACTAAGGAGTCAACCACCATCAAAACCATCAACATCTTCAAATCAAAATGTTCAATTTCCAGTGGACGATTTAGAAGCTCAAACATCATATAAAAGACCTATTCATGAGAACATATCACCTAGTATTGGTGAAGATGAGAGAGCAAGAAGAGCTAGATTAGGTATATTGAATCCTAAAGAGCGTGCATTGTGGAGATGGGCAAATGTTGAGAATCTTGATAGGTTTTTACAAGATGTATATTCTTATTATTTAGGAAGTGGTTATTATGCTATTTTATTATCTAGAACTCTTGATCTTGCAACATTAGCTTTTGTTGTTTATTTTTCAACATATTTATCCACATGTATTGATTACTCAAAGCTAAGTGACTCACATACAAAAAGCCTTGATCAAATTAGAGTTGATCAATGTTATTCAAAAATCCATGCATTTCCAAAATTCATGCTTTGGTTGTTTTACATTTATTTTGCACTGAAAGTTGTACAAATTTATTTGGATGCTAAAGCTCTCAAAGATATTCATCAATTTTACAAATATTTATTGGATATTTCAGATAAGGATTTACAAACCATCTCATGGCAAGTCGTCGTCAGTCGTTTGATGTTATTGAAAGATCAAAATGCAGTTACATCAAACGTATCAGATAAAAAGTCAAAATCGAGAATTGATGCCCATGATATAGCAAATAGAATTATGAGAAAGGAAAATTATTTTATTGCGTTATATAACAAAGAAATTTTGGACTTGACATTACCTATTCCTGGATATAGAAAGAATTTGTTAACAAGAACATTAGAATGGAACTTGAACTTATGTATCTCAGGATTTGTTTTCAATGAAAGTGGTCAAATAAGACAATCATTTTTGAAAGAAGCCAAAAGAAAAGAATTAGCTGATGAATTATCGAAAAGATTTATGTTGGCTGGTATATTGAACATTGTACTTGCACCATTGATTGTTACGTATTTCATCTTGTTATACTTTTTCAGATATTTTAATGAATACAGAAGAAATCCAGGATCAATTGGATCCCGACAATATACACCATTTGCAGAGTGGAAATTCAGGGAATTCAATGAATTATATCATTTGTTTCAAAGAAGATTGAATCTTAGTGTCCCAGAAGCTGCAAAATATGTTGATCAATTTCCAAAGGAGAAAACTACCATTGTTTTGAAGTTTGTTGCTTTTATAACAGGTTCGTTTGCTGCTGTATTAGGTATATTATCAGTAGTAGATCCTGATATGTTTTTCAACTTTGAAATAACAAAAGATAGAACTGTGTTATTTTACATCAGTATTTTTGGTACTATATGGGCTGTTTGTCATGGTGCAATTCCTGAAGAATATCAAGTGTTTGATTCTGAAGCTAGTCTTAAACAAGTTGCAACTTATACACATTTCTTACCACAATCATGGGAAGGAAAATATCACACAGAAGAGGTCAAAGCTGAGTTTTGTGAATATTTTGATTTGAAACCTTTCATATTACTTCGTGAAATTTCAAGCTTAATAATGACTCCTTTTATTCTTTGGTTTTCACTTCCAAAATCTACAAATAGAATTGTGGATTTCTTCAGAGAATTTTCTGTACATGTTGATGGGTTAGGATATGTTTGTACATTTGCAATGTTTAACTTTGATAAGTCTAAAAAGGGTTTGCAGTCAAAGAAATCTATATCACCAAATGATCCAAGAAAGACCCATTATAATTCAGGTGAAGATAAAATGATGAAGTCATATTTATATTTCATGGACAGTTATGGAAATAATGAAACACAAAGAAATGGGAGGTTACAGAGACCAGTGAGATCACAACCTTTACATCACTCTTCATACGGAGAATTAAGTCAACAGCAAAGTGTCACTAATTTAGCCAATGATTTTGGATCCAAATCTGTTGTCTTGAAAAATAGAAGACCACCTACTACAGGCTATCAAAATTTCAAGGCCCCAGAAATGAATACTTCTAATGATCGCGCCCTATTAGGAGATTCATTTATTACAACCATGCCTCAAACAGATGTTAATGAAGCTGAAGAGGATGGAGCACAAAATCCAGGAGTTTTAGGTTTACTAAACCAATTTTATAAAGATTATGAGATCTCGCATAATTGAGACTCATCTAGTTTCGATACTTTGATATGTTTTTTGTTTATTAGTTTAGTTATTGGGAATTTGGAATTATTTATACACATATATAATGACTTTTGTATTTGAATCATGAGATTGATATCCGTATATCTACAACTTCTTCAATAGCCAAATAGTGAATTTATTTCTTTTGAATCTATTAATATATTAACATGAACACATATTGAAAGAAACTATTATTTTTTACCTTTACGAGCTTTCTTTTCACGATCATAAGCATTCTTTTCAGCACCTTCACTTGTACTAACAGTATTAAGAATACTAGCCATTTTAGCATGATATTTCTTGTATTCATCTTTCTTTTCAGAAATTTGTTGTCTTGCTTCAAATCTAGCATCTTTACGCATTTCACGCATATTAGTTTTACGTTCTTGTTTAATTTGAGCACGCATTTTGTTAATATCTTGTCTTTGTCTATCATGATCATAAGATTTCTTTTCTGGATTGAAATTTTCTTCATATTTAGGAGCATATGTTGCAATTGCTAATTTCTTATGAGATTGTAATGTTAATGGTTTACGTTCATCTTTAGCAAATTTGTTTAATTTTTGGAATTTTTCAAATAATGAAGTTATTGGTTTGGAATCTGGATAGAATTCATTGAATTTTGATAGGATTAATTTAAAAGGTGTTGAGATTTCAACGAATGCAGTTTTTTCTTTCCAAGATTCTAATGCAAGATCTATTATTGATAAAAGTTTAAAGAAAACATTAACGTTATATGAATCTGGTAAATCACGTTCAATATCACTTATTCTTAAAATAACATCTTCTTTTGGTGTTTTAATTTTTTTGGATAATGTGATTCTAGTATCTGGAGATGCACCAATTGAGGAATCTTTAATTTCTTTTGGAGCAAATGATAATAATGCCTTTTGTAAGAAATATGCAACTTCTGGAACAAATCTTTTGGAAATTCTTTGATAATGAAGTATAATTTGTGATACAAATGAACCAGCAATTAATAAATTTAATGAATCATATTTTAATTGTTCTAAAGTTTCACCTAATACGATTAATGATGGTGTAACTATTAAATGATAATGATCTGAAGTTGAAAATAAAACACCAACAAGACTGAAAAATGTTAAATCTGAAATTAATGGATATTCATCTTCACCAGTTATAGTTGTTGTAATTCTTTCTTGAATTTCTATTATTTTTTCACGCATGAATTCTGTTAAAGCAATACTATGTTTTTCTGATAACTTTTTCAATATTGAAACTAAAGATTCTTGAACTTTTGAAAAAGATTCAGATTCTAACTCATCAGATTCTGATAAATATAAAATATGTTGCAATATGACTGTAGTAAATATAGATAATTTTTCTTTATTACCAGCTTGAAGTCTTGGTGAATAAAGTTCAATAATTTTATTTATATGTTTTGGAGTTTCTTCAAACGGTATTTTTTCTAATTGTTGATGTAAATCTTCAATAGAATTTGGACATGATAATTTACTCTTTGAGCTAGCAAATTTTTTACCACTTTGTTCATCAGTAGCTTCTTGAGATTCATCATCATCATTTTCTTCTTCCCCTTCTTCTTCATCAATTTGGAAACCTTCAGCTTCATCTTCACTCCCTTGACCCCAAAAATCATCATCAAGTTCATCTGGACCTCTTTCAGCGCCATAATCTTCACCTTGCATACGTCTTAATCTTGCTTCTTCTAATTCTTTTTGTTTAGCTTCCCATTCTTTATTTAATTCTTCTTCAGTTTTAGTTCTATCAGCTGGAGCAGCACGTCTATCAAGATTTAATTCTCTAACACTTTGTTCATAATTAATAGCATTTGGATCTTTTGGTTTTGATTCAAAAATTAGTTGTTTTTGTTTTGGAATACTACCTAATTCTTGTAAGACATCAGTAAATTCTTCATCTAATTCATCAATTTTACCTTCTCTTTCCTCTTGAGCTTGTTGACGTTTTTCTTTATAAAATTTAGATTTAGCAATAACTTCTTTCATAACTTCAGCTTTAGTTTTCTTTTTTGGAACAACATCTTCTTGAGATAATTCATCATCAACGTTATCAATTTCTCTACTTCTTTTCTTTGGTTTTAAGAAATCATCATCATCATCAGAGTTTTGTAAATCATCATCATCTTGTTCAAAATCATCATTTAATGCTAATGATTTACCATAATGTGTAAGTTCATCATCAGATTCATCATCTAAATTGAACATACCACTTCTTGAACTTTGCATTTGTTTTTCACGAGTGAAACGAGCAAGCATTTTCTCTTCAGGTGTCATTGTTTTATCATTTTCACCAAAACGACTATCATTAAAGAATCCATTTCTATTTTTATTTGATTTTTTAGCTTCATATGCAGCTCTTCTTTGATTTTCAGCTAGAGATTTAGAAGCACCAGGTTTACCTTGAGAGCCTTTAACAAATCTATCACCAGTATCTGTTTTACTTTTATTTATTTTCTTATCAAAAGGATTAAACTGTTCTCTAATTTTATTAATTTTTTCTTGAGTATCATCACGACGTGAATCAAAAGGAGCCTTCTTATTAGTTTTTCTCTTAACGTTTGTTTGACCTGTAAGTCCGTTTTCTTTCAACGCAGCTTTCAGCTGCTTAAGTTGTGACCCTGCCATGATACTACCACTGACTTTTCAATCTAACTTATACACTTTTTAAATCAATTGTACTTGTAAAGTTTATTATACAAATTGAAATAATTTTTTTTAGCCCATCGTCGGTTCGCGCACTGAATTCCCAAAACGGAAATGGTTACGCGCCACTGGCAAACTTCGAAAGTTTCGCGAATTTTTGTTCAGATTTCCAAAATTCAAACTTCAATTAATCAACAAAGTGAGTATTCAAATTGAAATCAACCGTTAGACCAGGCAATTACACACAGATCATGTCCAGAGACGCTCCAATCAAGGCAGAGAAAGACTATACTGAGCTCTTAGACGAGCAGTTCCCACAAATTGACGTTCTCGCAAAGGTATGTTATCGGATCTATATTGAATTGATCTTATATGGTGGCAATTTTGACTAACACATGATTTTATAGAATGATTATAAAAATGCATTAGAAAAATTATTACTTTTAGAAAAACAAACACGTCAAGCATCTGATTTAGCATCTTCAAAGAGAGTATTGGTTAGAATTGCTGATTTATTAGGTGAAAATAAAGATTGGAAAAGTTTAAATGAACAATTAGTTTTATTATCCAAAAAACATGGTCAATTAAAATTAGCTGTTCAAGCTTTCATTCAACAAGCTATTGAATATCTTGATAAGACTGGTAATCAAGATACCAAGATTGAAATCATTGATACTATAAGAACTGTTACTGAAAATAAAATTTTCGTTGAAGTTGAACGTGCTAGAGTGACAAGAGAATTATCACATATTAGAAGAAAAGAAGGTAAAATTGATCAAGCAACTGATCTTTTAGTGGAATTACAAGTTGAAACTTATGGTTCAATGAATTTAAGAGAAAAAATGGAATTTATTTTGGAACAAGTTGAATTATGTATTTTAAAAGGTGATTTTACACAAGCAAATATTTTATCAAGAAAAATTCTTGTTAAAACTTTACAATCTCCAGATTATCAAGATATTAAACTTCAATATTATCAATTATTAATTAAAATTGGATTAAATAGTAATGATTATTTAAATATTGCTAAACATTATTTATCAATTTATGAAATTGAAGATATTAAAAAAGATGATTCTAAATGGAAACCAATCTTAATCAATATTGTTTATTTCTTAGTTTTATCACCTTATGATAATTTACAAAATGATTTAATTCATAAATTAGAACTTGACACAAATTTAAAAAAATTAGAATTACACAATCAATTAGTTAAATCATTTATTACTCAAGAATTAATGAGATGGCCAATAATTAAACAAGTTTATAGTAAAGAATTAGAAAAAAGTGAATATTTTGATTCAAAAACTAAAGAAAATTCTAAACATTGGAATGATTTACGTGATAGAGTTATTGAACATAATTTAAGAGTTATTTCAACTTATTATACAAGAATCACATTATTAAGATTAAATCAATTATTAGATTTAGAAGAACATGAAACTGAACATTTTATTAGTACTTTAGTTAATCAAGGTACAATTTTTGCTAAAATTAATAGACCTGCAAAAGTGGTAAGTTTTGCTAAACCAAAAGATTCAAATGAATTATTAAATCAATGGTCAAGTAATGTTGATGAATTATTAGGTCATATTGAAACTATTGGTCATTTAATCACAAAAGAAGAAATGATGAATGGTATTAAAGCATCTAATTAGGTTACCATATTGTATTAATGAATAAAATGTTTTGACAACTTTATAACTGTTAATTAGTAGAGTAAGAAAAACTTTTGTGATGAATTCATTTTTTATTTTGATTTGTATTGATATCTTCTCTTCTTTTTCTTGCACTTTCAACTAAATCATTCCATCTTTCTTTTAATTTTTTAACTTGTAAATCTAATGATTTATTTTCTTTATTCAGGAGTTCCAATTTTTGATCAAACTGGGACTGCTTTCTCTTTTCTTGAATTTGTAAATCATTCTTTAATGTATTCAAATAATTTTTCAAATTAATCTTCAATTTCTTATGGAAAGATTCATAAGTATGTAAATTTTCACTATAATTAGATAATAATTGTTTTAAAGTAGCATTTTCCAACTCTAGCTCTTCGATTGATTTGCCTGATGGTCTTATTCTAGTATTTGAAAGGTCAATTGGTTGATCTTGAGTTGTTGAAGGATTAATCTTTATCAAATTGTATACTTGAACTTGGAATTTAGCTATAGGATCATTATCATCAACACCAGAACCACTATCCATCCCTCTAGCAGACGCCAAAGAGGCAGTAATACTATCACCCCCATCTCTCCCTCTAGCTCTGACATGTTGACTAGACTGTACAGATGGGTTAGACTGTGTAGATGGCATGGGGACCACGGGTTGTGCTTTAATCTGGGGTTTCCTATTCTGTAGTAACGAAAGTTCACTGGCTCTTCTGGCATTTTGATCCACCAGGATCCTCAGTGCATTATTGACTTCTTCATTATCAGTCTGACCAATCTGTTTCTGGAAAAGTTCACTGGCTTCTTTGTAACGAATTGAAGCGTCTTTGAATTGTTTCTTTGAAATGAGTTCTTCACCCTTCTTAACTAAATCGTAAGCCTTTTTGGAGGTGATAGTTAGTGGAAAAGAACTGGGAAAAACAGGAGGCAGGATACTCACATCATTCAAAGACATGTTTCCACAATCAATTGACTTAATTTCCTCTTGATACTATGTGATTCCTGGTAATATTGCTTCTTTTTGTTGTTTCATTCAATGGGTATAAAAGTGTGCTGATAACAAATTGATTTTTCATTGACACTAAAGCGAATTTGGTACTCAAAATTTCAATTCCTCGAGAAGTTTAAAGACACAATTTACTGGTTCAAGCTATAAACTTGTTATATATCCAAAGACTGGCCCACTGTTGGAAGGGAGACTATCGCTAAGTGAAGAGGAAAGTGGTCAGTATACTTCAAATCCCAGAAACAAACTGCTCAAATACCAGAGAATTCGGTGATCAAGGGGTGCATTCTCGATAAGTTTATTGTTATTGATGATCTTGAGATTAGTATAGTGTGACATTATGGAAACAGACCAGATATTTCAAGAATCTACCCTTTTTTGGGGACATTTGAAAGAACTGTTGAAATGCCCTGAAGTTGAGGACTATGAATTGGCAAACACCAGACTTGTCCAGTATATCAAGACCGTTTCTGATCATGTTCATATTTATATAACTGAGGATCATGATCTTTATCAATGTGGTATTGGATTAATAAGTTCCCCCATTTATGAAATTCATAGAGAGTTTTGCATCTCCAAAATGTTATCATTCTTAAATATTGATTTATTGGAACAAAATTTCAAACTTTTCGTTAGTTATGTGCTATTATTAGATTGTAAAAATGATGCTTCAATACTTCAATTAGTTCAAGATTATCAAGGTTTCAATGTGTTGTATAAGAATTTACATCAAAATTTTGAAAATGTCGCTTTGCTATCCAAAAAGGAAGGTGATTCTATCACAATAGGTGTTATCAAAAGGATCTGTACTATACAATTGGATTTAATGTTTCAAATGTGTAAATATTTATCAATCACCCAGGAGGAATTAACAATAATTGATACTTTCTTCATCAATTATATATTTGAATCATTAATAGTGGTGGACTCTGAAGAGGATTTATTTAATTTTGCTAAATTTAAAATCATTTTGGCTGTTAATGAACAATTCATGATTGTTTCAAGAGAATCCAAAATTGAAAATAAAGTATTCCATACAATTGCAACTCATACAACTTTTAGAAATTTTAGTGAATGTTTATTAGTTTATTTCAATAGAGAGGAGGACCGCTGTTTACAAATTATGATTTCAAAAGTTTTATACCTGATTTTCACAAACTCTTCAACAAAAGAATTGTTTTATCATAATGATTTAAATGTTTTAGTTGATGTTTTATTAAGAGAATTGAGAAATTTATCAGAAGAAGAGGAAAGTATAAGAAATACCTTCTTACGTGTCCTATATCCATTATTAAAATGTTCACAATTTGAAGATACAAATTATAAAAAAGATAAATTAAAAAAATTATTAAATTACTTTGCTGGTCAAAGTGAATCAACATTTTGGCATCAAACTGAAACAACTAAAAGATTAGCATTACGTTGTCTTTCAATTAACTGGTTAACAAGAGAAGAAGATCAAGATTCAGAACCATCACCTTCACCTCCAAAAAAGGATACATTGACTGTACCTGAAATTAATCATTCAAATACATCTATAAATTCAATTTCTAAAAGACAACCACCTCCTGCTCCTTTACCTAGAAAGCTCTTGAGCAGGAATTCAAGTTATCATAATACGAGTAATGATACTCATACCAATAATAATAATCGTAATAATGGGAAAATAATGCCACCAAGTATCCGTTAGGTTCAAGCATGAATATATAATTTTAATTATTAATATCATAATTGTATAATGAAAGTCATATTAATTCAATATTTATAAGTATGTAACACATGTTCTGTAGCACCAGACGTAACACAAAACTCTACTTTAATATTGATCTTACAATAAATGTTCAATAATATTACGTATTTTTAAAACAAAAAGCTATGTCCCTTTTTCAATCTATCCAGTTTAATTTCTTTATAAAGCAATTTCTTCATCTTCAACATCATCATCAAGATAACTTACAGTCTCAGCTCTTATATATTCATCAATAACATTTTGAACAACTTCTCTTGAATCTTGAAATTCATCAATACCATTTTGAAATAATTTCCCATCTTTATAACCACCAATAAATGCATTTCTTCTAATAATTTTATCAAATTGTTTACAAGTTTTACCTAATAATGAAATAATCCCTGATGTATTTTGTAATGATAATCCACTTACAAAATTTGAATTTGAAGTTTTATAATGTTGAGATTTTTTACCATTTGCAATATGAATACTTGATGAACTCCATGGTACAAATTTTGCTCTTTGTTGAGCTTTTATAATTGCCTTTTGAATATCTAATCTTTCATAATCTCCTTGAATTATATTGAAAATTGATATATACATATTGTGTCTATCATCAATATCAATTAACTTGATTTTTTTATCTAATAATTCTAGTATAACATCATAAGCTGAATTTTTTCTAATTTGTTTAGCATCTGTAACAAAATCTGATGTAAATGGTGTAAAACTTGGAACAATGAAATGTAAATCTGGTGTTGGAACTATTGTAGAAATCACACTTGTTAATGAGTTATACATATAACTTGGATATCTTAATGTATTTGTAGCACCTGACATAACTGCAGCAATTAATTGATTAGTTTGTAAAATAGTTGGACTATTACTTTGAAAAGTTTTCATAGCTGTATTTAATAATGCACTATTTTCTATCACTATATTAGCATTTGAGGATTCAATTAATCTTTTCAATGTAAGTATTGTATTATAAGGTTGAACAACAACATCTGAAGATTGAACACTTTCTGGGAAAATTGAATAGGTTGTGGTAAGTTTCTTATTATATCTATCTGATAGAACTTCTAATAAATATGATCCAACACCTGAACCTGTACCACCAGCAACTGAATGTATCAGTTGGAAAGCTTCAAGATTATCACATGAATCTAATTCTCTATCAATCATTTCTAAAAATAATTCATTTTGACTATCTGCATAATCATAACCTTTTGACCAAATATTACCAGCTCCAAGTCCAGTATTTGAAGTATGTATATTTCTTTCATTGAAAAGATTATCTGTTTTGGATTTGATATCTGAGATAACACCTGGTTCAAGATCAACTAATAGCGCTCTTGGTGTATATCTTTTATCATCATTACTATTGAAAAACACATTTGTTTCATCTTCTCGTAGTCCTTCCACTGTGCTTAAACCATCTGCTCCAATTCCGTGTTCTTTACATAGTTGATTCCAAAATTGTTGACCAACTTGATTACCACATTGACCTATGCATAACTAGTTAGTGAAAAGTTCATGATACTTGAAAGTTGATGTCTTAATTCTATGATATACGTACCGACTTGCAACGTTATTATTTCTCTATAAAATCAGGCTGTTAGTTTAGATCTTTCGAATTGGAATTGAGCCTATTACTTACGGCATATTACCTATGTTTTTCTACCACAATTGTCCAATCCACAGATACTTCAATGGCTCTTTTGTCGCGTGAATTCACAAATTTTGGTTTAAATTCGTATTGTTGATTTCAATGTTTACACAACACACGCGAAAAAAAAAACATCACCAAAAAATCAAAACAGAGATGCTGTGCTTACCGAATTCATTAGACATATAAACTACAAAAACAAATTTTTTACTTATAAAACCTTTTAATATTCAAAATACATGCGCAAAATTAAACGGTAATGACCTTGACTTACAAGCCATTTTCTGTCTATCTTTTTTTTTTCATTTTTTTTTGTTTTTTCCAAACTTGTTTTTTATTGTACTTATATTGTTCAAAACCACAAATTCATAACTATCATACAAGGATTCTTAAACCTGAAGCTGGTGCACCAATTTTAGTGATCAATGTGATCTTATCAACTTTACCCTTTTCAGATGGTTGATATTTAGCACCGACCAAGGCTTCTGAAACAGATGGTGAACCTTTATAAATTGGTGTGTATGTAGAAGCACAAATATCAAATTCAACATCTGGATCAAAATTAATTTCAATAGCATCACGAGCAATTGTATCAGATTTAGCTTTAATCTTTTGTGCTTGTTCTAAACGTGGTCCACTAACACCTGATTTTAAAAATTCTGATGCAAAGTATGAAGCAGAAGCATAATTCTTATGTTTGAAAGATTGATTCATAGCAACTTGTAATGCATTGGTTCTATGAGCTGGAATCAATTTAGCTCTTGTGAAATAAGCAGCTAATTCCAAGCCACGTTGAATATCTTCAGCTGGTAATGAACGACGTTGTAATTCAATTGAAAGACCCAAAATATATTCACGAGCAAGACTTAAAGCGTCAGTGGCTTTTTTCTCATCTTCTTCATTATCAACAGCAATTAATGTAATAATATATATCACTTTACGGAATGATTCAATAGCAGCTGATAAATTATTTGCTTTAAAGTTTTTGTAACCTTCATTAACAGTTTTAGTAATTTCTTCAAATCCTGGTAAGAATGGTAACACTTTATTGATATTGTCTTCTTCAATATCTGAACGAATATATGATTTTAATGGTGGTAATTCATCTGAAGCAGTTAATGCTAATTTAGAAGCTTCATAAACTTGTAAGAAACGTGGACGCAATGGTTCGAAATTAACAACACCAACTTGTCTGTTTAATATTTGAGCAGCGGTATCAAATGCACCAGCAGCAGCATAACCAGCAGCAACTTTTGAATTACGCAACCAGTGTGATAGTTCACCAGGTGGAACTGAACCTTCTTCAACTTCAAGAGCTTCTTCTTCTTCAACATCAACTTCAAAGTCTTCATCACCCATATCCCAACCACCATCATCTTCACCAATGTTTTCATCATCAAATAATGGTTCATCAAAAGTATTAGAATCTTTTGCGACGGAGGCATTAGCAACTTCATCTTCATCTTCAACTGGATCATTGATATCTAAATCTTCAAGTTGACCTAAGATAGCTTTTTCGAAGTATGATAAAGTAGCTTCTGTTAATGCCCATTCTGTTACACCAGTGTTAACAGCCTTAGCATTTTCAACTGGTTGTAAATCTTCTGGTAATTCAATATCATCTTCACTTAAACCAGCTTGTTCTAGAATAGCAGCAGCTAATTCATCATGACCATTGGTTTTAGCGGTAGCATAAGCTAATGGTAATGAACCAGCTTGAGCAAACACATTAGCTCTTTTTTCAGTTGAATTGTTGTAAATGGTGTTTTGAATCAAACTACCAATATCACCACGTTGTTCTGCAATAGCTTCCATTTTAGACAATTTATTGAAATCACCAGTGATTAAATAAAAGAATGATAATTTATCAAATTGATGTTGTGTTTGATAGACTAATTCAACAATTGAACCATTACCTTGTCTTAAAGCTTCTTCACCTAATTTTTCCCAAATTTGAGCAGAGTCTAAAGTTTTGGCTTCTTGTAAGGCAACTTCTAAATTACCACATTCTAAAGCCAATTCAAATTTAGTTTGAGGATCTTGAACGAATTGTAAAGCAACTTCTGGGTATCCACTTTTTTGCAAATAAGCAATAATGTTTTGACCAACTAATTTTGAAGTTCTAATCAAACGTAAAACTTCATAAAAGTTTTTATTAACTAAAGCTCTCTTGAAACGATATTCAGTGCTATCAATCTTAACAATTTCAACTTCACCATTACGGTTTAAAGTGTAAACATCTCTACCTGAAACTTTAGTAATATATAAAGTTGATTCCAGAGTTTTGATAATACCATTATCACCATTTAATAAAGTATATTTGATATGGTTTAAAGTTGAATAGAATAAAACACCAGTTTCTTCCCAAGCAGCACTCTTAATACGAATGGTTTCATGCATTGATGTAATAACTTCTAATTTCTTGTTAACAATAGTGATTGTGTGTTTACTCAATAATGCAATATATTGACCATCTAATGACCATGAAACATATTTGACATTGTTGACTTGAACTTCACCTAAGACTTTCTTTTGTTGAGCATCATAATGAACAACAGAGTTATTTTTCAATAATAAAACTGAACCTGGACCACCATAGACAACATCTTTAACAGAACTATCTAATTTGATGACCTTTGTGGTTGAATTATCCAAATCTTTAACTTCCAAGTTTTGAGTGGCTTTTGAGTAAACAACAAATCTGTTACGAGCAATGAAAACAGCGTTGTTACCTTCACCCAATTTCAAATCTTGTGGTTCAATAGCACCAGTAATATCTTTTGGTAAACCAATTAAAGCATATTGATCACCAGTTGTAACTAAGATTGAACGAGAACTTGGATTATATGATAAAGTTCTTAAGTTATTCCAAGTATTACCAATCTTTTTCAATGATAATGTTGGTAAAGAAGAAACTTGTCTATCATAATCAAATATTTGAACTTGTCTATCATTGTTAATATAGTACAATTGATTTTGGAAAATAGAATGAGCTGGACGTTCACGATCTAATTTGAAAACCATGACACCTGAATCATGACAAGTTGCAAACAAGTTAATATGTGGATGTGATGCAATTAACCAGAATCTATCATGATCTCTCTTGAATTGTTTAACTGGTGTACGTTTGTTCAAATCCCAAACTCTAATTGTTTTATCTTCACCAACAGAAATAATCAAATCTTGATGAGGATGGAATGTAACACTCAGAACATTGTTGGTATGACCTCTACAAGTATCAACTTCCCAAGCTTTGGTTTCACTCATTCTCCATAATTTGACTTGACGATCATCACTACCAGAAACAATCAATGGTAAACGAGGATGGAATGAAGCCCAATTGACACCTCTATCATGACCTTCAAGAATGTATTTGACAACAGCATCAGTGTTACCGAAAATATCTTGTTGTGGAGCATTAGCACGACCATATTGTTCTTCATAGAAATTATTTTGTGGTGCTGAATGTTTTTGTCTCAAACCTGAAATATCCCAGACTCTAACTGTTTGATCTAATGAAGCAGAAACAATTAAATCTTCAGATGGATGGAATTGAGCACTCATAACATAATGATTATGACCTGTTAAACAAGCGATTTCTGAACGATTTTGCCAGTTCCAAATTCTAATAGTTTGATCATCCGAAGCAGAAATGATCCAAGGTAAATCATGATGAAAATAAACAGTTCTAACATAATCCAGATGACCATTCAATGTGAATAAACATTTACGAGTGTCTAAAGACCAAACTTTAACAGTATAATCATCACCACCTGAAACGAAAAGTGGTTGTGTTGGATGGAAATCAACAGAACGAACGGAACCTTCATGTTCTTCAAAACGGTCAATCAATGTACCCATTCTATAATCCCATAATTGAATAGTTGATGAATGTAATGATACTAAAATCCATGGTCTATTTGGTGAAATGTTAATATAAATTCCTTGATCAGTGTTGACATAATGTAAACATACCTTGTAGGGTGGAAAGCGACACCTTTCGCACGGGAAGACTTGGACTCAAACTATAGAATATTGTTAGCAATTCATATGACTTGAATAAAGGTGGATCAAGTACAATTGAATCTTGAACTCCAGTTGAGTTCAAGTTATTGTTGTTCAATTGATGTTGTTATGATCTCAAATATAAGTAAACATACCTTCGTTAGCATCTTCATTTTGACAAGATTATTGATATACCCTCAGAATCTCAAGCCAGATAGTTATCCTTTGAATAATTAAGCAGCCGAAGAAAGCTAAGTAGTCAATACAAAAGTCTTTGAGTTGATTGAATTGAGGCCAAGTGTATGCTTAATGTTTGAACCTTTCGCGTGTTCTTAAGCAAATGGTTGACAATTCGAAAATTTCGATCAAGGAGCCGGTACGTCCACGCAGATTCCAGATTCAAGGGTCACCCGGTCTCGGAAGATATCATGTATAAGTAACTACTAATTAAGAAGTGAGTACAATTGATTGTCTTATAAAAAAAGAACCTTGTTTTAGTACATATAATTCATAGGGTTAGAAGGTTATAGTAACAAAGTATTGATTCAAGTGTGAACAATTAGGATTGATGCTTTACGGTCTTGAGGTAACTCATGGTGATTACCATACACTGTCTACTGAACTACTTCTATGTTAATTGTACAGCTATTTTGTAACAATTACGATTATTTTGTATATATTCATATATCAAAAACACCAGGGTATATGCTATTATCTAAATAGACAATCAAATGGTTTTTTGAATAGTTTTTGTCCTTTTATACAGCTTAGTTCTAAAATGATTAAGTGTAAATTTCTTATCATAGAGCTGTTGCAATCATCATGATGGAAAGCAACAATGAAACAAATGAAGATCCACCAATACTATTAGCAAGATTTGATGAGCTTCCTTCAGTACTACTACTGCTACCGTATTGATTCCATCCTCCTGATCCAGAGGTTGTAGAACTGGAACCCGAGTCACTGTCATCACTATCACTATCACTACCAGAGGTAGATGTTGAGCCACTTGAGGTTTTGGTACTTCCAGATTTAGTTGAAGAGTCAGAATCTGATGAAGACGATGACTTTCCTTCATCTGGATCCAGTCCACTAGCCTCATCTGATCCCAATACTGTTTCCTCATCACTTATAACAATATCATCCTGGTCAAAACTACTTGAGGAGTTGAAGATGTATGAAACATCACCTTCAATCAACGTATCTTCTGGAGCTTCATAGCACTCTATACTAACATTTTTCAGAAGCATATAGTAATAACCGTAGTCTTTAATATCATCTGCATCCCAATCAATAGCACCACCAGCCCAAGCGATGGTACCAACGCTGTTATCAGAGTCACCCCCAGGCCAAAGAGAAAATTGAACCCTTGAAGGTGTTTGTGGATAATGATATGAGTTTGTAGAGGAGTTCCATGTATCTTCCTTTTTCAAAGTTCTGAATGATTCACCATTTAAAGACCAAGTTAATTCTTCTGGAGTCCAATCAACCTCATAAGTATGGTAATTTTCATAAGTATCTGAAGTTGTAGCATTTCTGACATTTGAATAATTTAAAACAGCTTGATAGTAATAATTTGATTCAACAGTCGTTAGCTCAGATCCAATAAATTCAAAATCAATTTCATCTTGTGCATTTGAAAATAAAATGAAAGCAGTAACAACACCTTGTAAATGTGAAGTCTTCAAAGTTGCAGAAATTTTACCAAACCAAACGTAACGTGATGAAGATAAAACTGTACCAGATGATTGATTTGGCATTGCAAGTAGTAAAGAATCATCATAACTATCAACGTACCCATTATATATCCAGTCACCATCTTCAGGGTCACCAAGAAATTTATCTTCATCAACTAAACCATCAATACCGTTTTCGAATGTAGTTGTAATATTTTTACAAATTGGCATTGGCATACATGCTTCTTTACTATAAAAATTGAATTTGTTAATACCCACTGTCACTTTTATTCATGTTATATTGAAGATCAGATTATATTACAGTATTGCTAGATTCATAGTTATTGATCAACTAATTTTGAGCACAGCCAAATTGTACCTTTAAGATCAAATATAAATAAATCTCAATCTCCATCTTCACTTCAAATAGATACTCACGAGTATGAAAATTCTGGATGACAACCACCAAGACAAGTAATACCACTACCACATTGTCCATATTGTGAGCAGCATGGGGAATCTTCTGGGCAACTGCTGCTTGAATTACACAGTATAGTTGCTGCAACTTGACTTATAATAAGACTTGAAAAAGCCAAAACCGATAGAGAAAACCTCATGTTTTGATGTGATACTTAAAATGAATGAATTAATGAACGAATGAATATGATGAAGTGGAAAAGAATGAATTAATATAGTACCAGTGGTTAAGTATCAAAAAGACAAATTATCAAAAAATCATGAACAAAAATGCATTACAAGAGGCAAGGTTTTAAAAAGCTGAGTCTATCTATATAATTCCTGCACATTGGTATGTACGGTGCTTAGCGGTTTGCATCAAATTTCCCGATTTGGTTCGAAAAAGTTAAAACTTTGTAAAAAAAGCTTTTTTTACGCGCCAAATCTTGAACAATTTCTAGATTTGGCGCATTTTCATGGCGTTTATTAAGGTACTCATCGTCTTCTGTGCATGATAAAGTTTTGCGCTTTTGTGGTTATAAAATTTTGTGTCTAAGCCTTGAGGTTGAGTTTTGAAGAAAGCGTTGTAGTAACTTGTATTTTACGTGTTTATTGGGCATATTATAACCGTATTAAATTCTTATATATATATGATTCTAGTTAACTGTACGCAATCTATTTTGGTGATCATCTAATTTTACTGGAATAGAGCCACTTCGTTCACTGTTGCACCACTCGGTTCTTGTGGATCTAAAGCATCAGTGATCTCCACGATGATAAACTTGGTAAATAAAGTATTGTTACCAATCTCAAATTCTGTTATATTGTTTGGTAGTAATTTGATATCTTTTGAATATTCTTCTTTGTAAGGTTCACTTGTTTCAATATCTAATTTATCAACAAGTGAAGTAAATTTAATATTTTCAATGTTCATAAAAGCCTCTTCCATATCCAATGAAATTTCTTCAGTTCCATATATACTCAAGGTCTTTGCAGGTCTCTCACCCCAAATAATCAGCCCCTTAGATAATTTTTGAGGAAATCCAAGGTCAATTAATAATCTAGCAGGCTCTCTATCTAATGGCTGCCAATATGTATAATTATTACCATCAATAGCACTCAAAGGAACATCGCCAGGAACACCAACAGTCAAGTTTGTAATTGGTTTACATTCCACAGTTGAACCATCAATATTCATACCAGGAACAAATAGTGGAACTTTTAATTTTTCACCTGGTTGTAATGTATATCTTCCAGTTTTTGGGTTTCTCTCACGAACTTCAATCTCAATTGGATCATCACCTTTATGAATTATAATACCCTCAATATCAGTCACTATAACATCTAGCAATTGGTTTGAATATTTGAATCCACTAATTTTAACACCTCCTGGTAATCCAGATATAGCAATAGGGTCAAATGTCAAAAATCTATCTAATTTACCATCAGGGGTTAACTTGACAGAAAATCTTAATCCATGAACACCATATACCAAAGCTTGTAAATAACCACCATGACCAGTCATGAATGGGAAAGCAGGATTTGTACCACCATTTGTTGCAGTGTTATCATCAGCTTGTTCACTAAATTGTGCAAATGGAGCTCTCAAATAAGGCAAAACAGACTTTTGTAAATAGCTATGGACTGAACAACCTTTATTTAACAATTTTGCAGATGCAATTGAAAATACAGGGAATGTCATTGCAGGTCCAACATCAGCTTGTTTAATTGAGTAATAGTAAAGGTCTCTTTCTGCATCTTCATAGCTATGATGGTCATTGAAATCCAATGGGAAAGTTAATAACACAACGTCCGCTTGTTTAATCGATACTGAAGCATTCATACCAATGTATTCCAAAGTAATACCATCTTCAGATCTTGGAATATAAACATTATCGTTAACTTTTGCCCATTTTGGATTGATTGGCTCACCTAAATGACTAGCGGCCATTAAAGTCCATTTCATCAAGGAGTCAATACCAGCATTAGTAAAAGCACCATTATCAACATGGTTAGCATATTCATCTGGATCCGTAAGATTATGAGTAGTGAATTGATTCAAAGTTGTATTGAAGGTGACATAATCAGTCAAGAAATTTGAAGCATCTCTAAGAATTGGCCAAGCTGTATACCTTAAATATTCTTCATCACCACTTGCCAAATAAATTAACCACGAACTGTAAGCAATATCAACGTTTAAATGGTATTCATAATTAACACAAGGTCCTGTTGATGTACAATTACCAAATCTACCAGAAGTCCAAGGATAAGCAGCACCTTCGAATCCATATTCTTGAGCATTTTCAATAGCTTGATTATGTGTAAAGTTTCTATATTGACTAATGCACTTTGCGACTTGTGGAGCAAAGGGCAAAATTGCAGGTACAATCCATAAATCAGTATCCCAAAATGTCATACCACCATAACTATCTGAACTTAAACCAGTAGTACCTAATGCTGAAGTTAAGTCTCTGGTACCGATTCTTGTATTTGCATAAAGATGATAAAGACTTGATCTTGCAGCTAGAGTTAAAAATCCACTTCCAGGAATATAAATATTGGTCTCTTTAAATTGTTCATCCCATTCATGATTATGTGAGTCATATAGTTGTTGTAAACCAACACTTTGAGCAAAATCAACAATCTTTTTGGCATTTTCTAACTCGGATCCTGTACCCCTTTCTTGATACTCAGTTGATATTATTCCAGCATACTTTGTAATTTTAAATTTTTCTTTGGTTAATGTAAAATGATGTTCATTTATAACGGTTTGTCCTTCTTCATCCACATATGAGTGGGTATCATTCAAATCTAACCTTGAGTATACAGCAACTCTAGAATAATCAATATTATTAGGCGTAACTTGCATATAAATTCCTAGATCATCAACACCTATATCTTGCAAAACAGATCTTTGAGCTGTAGTAAGATTCAATTGATCTTGAACAATCATTTCAACATCTTCATCAACAGCACTCAATTCCATGGATATAAGACCCAAGGGCGCAATTTGTTTATGAGCCATAACATTAATCTTAACATTCACTTTATTTAACCAAGTTAAACGGGTTGAGACAATACCGTTTTGTAACGATAAATTTTGAACATAATTTGTAACATCGTTATCAAAAGTTTGTTGAGGATCGAAAATGTAGTGTTGGCCACCGATTGTAGCATGTAATTGTAAAACGGGCCAATAAGGAATTGCTGAAATCACACTATCTGAACCATTAGCATATAACTCAGGGAAATTGGTATCAGGTAATTCAGGTTCTAAATCAAAAAACCCAGAGACAAAAGCACCTGTATAACGTTTGTTAAATAATGGCCAACCATTTTTCAAAAATTCTTCATCCATTGAGTTTGCATGGATATTAAATTGATCATATGTGAAACCTTGACCTAATGTTGATAATCTAGCACCAATATAACCATTTGAAACATAAGCTTGTCTTGAGTAAACATTCTTGGAGAAATGTGTATGACCTAATATATTATTTCTTTCATCATAAAATGCATTACCAGAATCTGGAACTTGTCTAAACAATTTTTCACTCTTCTCAAACATTTTCAGCCATCTTGCCTTTTCATCATCTTGATCAAATGGAGAAACAGTATTCAGCACCACCGTGGGGACGAAGGCTAATAAAACCAATAGAGTTGGAAATAACAGTGTCATAGAAAATAATATAGTTTTTCTTCTCTTGGTTTTTGGTTGTCTAGATTCATTGTTTCGACTTTTATCCTTTTCAATAATGGGCATTATTCTATTGTATTTATATCTAGATAAATTTTGGTTGATCTTTTGCTGTGTGGGGTGTAACTAAATTCTAATTGTTTAGAGAATTGAACAAATACAATTGGACTGTAACGCAGATGCTGAATATAATTGTGATGAAATCTTGTATAACAACAATGTCTAATTGAGGTAAATCTTCGTAAACTAAATCTGCATAAACTGGACCTTATTCATGGAAAGTGGTGAAATCCTCGAGACTTTAAAAGCGAAAGGATTTCTATATATGTAGATCTGAAACCCGTAAGAAAACATTTGTACCCATTAAAGTTCCATAATAAAAGTCATCTTTGTGTCATCTCCCGAAAAATCCTTATTATAGTAAACGCATTTCCGAAATTTTGAAGTGGGTCCGAATTTTCGAAGCTTGCGATTCAAATTAACCGCTTAAACAAACTAGGAAATGGTTACAAACTACGTTACAACGTTATAGCATTTCAATCATGAATGAACTGTTCAAAATTGTTTGAATTACACATTTACTGAAATCATGGATCGGTTAGCTATTGTCAATCGTCTTGTTCGTATTGGAGAGAAGTAGAATGATGTCAGAATGTTGTTATAGTGTGAAATATATTTCAATTCACAATGAATGAAACCCAATTATATGGTATTCATCAAATACTAATTTAACCTGAATTTTTATACCAGGTGTGTTTAATATTGACGTCTTTACAACAGATTGTAGGTAAGATACTTAAAAGTCATTTGTATTTGTCGCTGAATTTATTTATAAGAATTAATTGAGGATTCAATTTAAGTAAAGTAATAAGATCTGAAGCATCATCATTAATTGATGCATTTTGGGTAAACTCTTTTGAAACCTGAGGTTTTCCATCATTGATTCCCAGGATCAGAATAGACGATTGAATATTATTCAATACATAATCATTTGATTTGATGGTTAAAGTTTTAAGCAAGTCATCTAGAAATTCATAAACTTGAAGTTTGGTTTTAAACTCACGGTTTGTTATTTTAACACATGATTGACCAGTAATAATCATTCTGAAATAACGTGCCGTATTAGGTTCTCCCGTTACTTTATTAAGACTTTTAGCCACAAGAGTACGACACCAATTTTTTATTGGATTAAATTTTTGGAAATTGATTGGATTCATATAGTGACTCAATCTTCTTCTTAATATATGTGAATAAGCTTTTTCTGCAGAAAGTAAATAAACGCTCAACAATTACTCTTTGAAATAGACATTCTGTGGGAAGATGTGATGAAGATCATCTCTAATAGAATCAGTACTAGATTTATTTTTGACATGTGTATGTGTGAAAACCTGTAAAACCTTGTTTCTTTATCTTCAAGATCATCTTTCCATCTAATTCTATCAAAATTATCATCCAAAGGTGCAACATCAATAGGTTCGATTTCATCTTGATCTGAATCAACTTTCAAAACTGAAGTACGTCTAAGCTGTTTTATTTCTTGATAAATCAACTTTTCCAATGATTCATGTTCACTAGATGATCCTTCAACTAATGAACTTTTCTCCATAGTCATAAGTTTATCAAACCCATCGAACATACAAATGTCTATCAAAAGTTCCTTAATAAATTTCTTCATTATTGAGTTTGGATTTTGTAAAATATTCTTTAAAATGAGTTGAATCTTTTTAAAACTTCTTATCTCAAATGGATGGTTGAATCTCTCTTCTCCATTGAATGATCTATGAGGGTTTTGGGGCCTTTTAATCTTTTTAGGACCAATACCCTTGAAATAATCTTGATCTTCAATTGCAGTATCTAAAAATTCATAATCGAATTTCTTACTCTCTTGGTCTCTTTCATAAATTGAATATGAATTATAATATTTATACTTGATAGTATCAGGCCCATTCTTTAAGAAACTTTCATCGTTAAGTTTCATCTTGGTTAATGTACTTAAAACAATTGTCAATTTTAATGTATCAAAAACTTTTGGTGCAAATGTATAGAGAAAAGACTTGTTAATTCTCAGCATGATTGAATAATTAATTTCACCATGATATGCAATGTATTCCCAAATTTCGATTGGGAGTATAATATTATTAGTAGGGTTCACATTGTAAATTGATGTAGATTCTTCAATATTATCGAACTCTAAATCTTCAAAACCTGCCTCTTCATCTGTCTTTGCTAAAGAAAATTTAACCTTTGATTTGAAATTACCAATCCACTCATATAGACCTTTTAATGTATTAAATGAATAATACCTTATTGGAAATGATAATCTATCCAATTTCCAAAAAGGTCTGTAAACTGTGTTGTAATATGAATGATGAATATAAAATATACCAAAACCTCTAGGATAACCTAACCAAATTGATAAAGCTTCATAAACATCACGTTCAGTATACAGGATATGGACTGATTCAATGCATTTGTGTAAAAATGATGTTATTAATGTTATAACAGTATTAATGATTGTGTTTAGTGTCATCATGTATATGTAATTAGTATATTTCGAATTCCCGAGTTAGATTGCAATGAGTAAAAGATAAGTTAAACGATTGCTTTTGCGATCGAATCTTCACTTTAAGTACCCAAAATTTGATAGATTAATATATTAGTTGAAGTTTCACAATTTAGTATCATGCTGCTCACAACTTTTTTCCTTGTTGGTATACTATTCGAATAAAAAAAACAAACTAGTAAAACAATGAATTAATATGGGAGACCCAATAACAATTCCGTTTTAACAATTAACTAATATAACAGTCCTACATATATACCCCACTCACCAAGCTACAAATCTGTTTTATTTTATATTGCAGATGCATATCATATACGTGTAATATATGTTGATTCTTAGATGTTCAGTTGACATTGCTATTTCTTTGGAATTTAACGACAAGTGACAACTTGTAACCATACCAGTAATGACTAGCGCTATTACTGGTGTCCTTGAACTTCTCAATACATGGTTTCATGCTTTGAACCTAAGGTTACGTATGTTCGAGCAGACTAGTGGATATTAAATATTCAGATTATCACCTTATTGTTCAAAAGAAGAACAATGGATCAACTAACATTTGATAGAGACGCCAGACAATTAATATTATCCAAACGAGCTTACACAATTGAATCCATTTCATATTACCTGACACTTCATTAAATAATCATTTATATTCACTTTAACTTTCCAACAGAACTTTACGTAGAAACATTCACTAATAAACCGCCAGCTGATCACTTTAAAAATCACCAAAATCCCCAGGAATTTAAACCTTTCAAACCAAATGCTGAGTAAGCGCTGACCTAAAACACCCGCGAATCGATCTCCCCGGTAGCTGGGGTGTCACCCGCTCTTTCACTTAACTACTACAGTGCGCTTACCACCCAGCTAGCCAATAAAATCGCTTGTTCGTTCGAGGCCCAATGAAAAAATCCCACCTCCCAAAATTTCCAAAAATCGATCCCTTTTTCAAAATTCAACACCTTGAAACCTTCATTCTCTCTTCTTTTTAAAACAACAAGTTCAATTTTAAGATCATTGGAAAAGGTGGCAACCTCTTTTTATATTCCTAATTGAATTATTCTAAACAATGCTTTCCCGTTCTGCTATCCGCACTGCTGCTAGATCAGTTGTTGCTGCTAATGCTGCTCGTTCAATCAACCGTGTTGTAAGTAATGAATTCAAAGATATCAAATGAAAAAAATCAATCATTGGAATAAAACAATTGAGAATTGAATGAACCAAGCAATTGAAAAGAGAATGAGTTATTCAATTGATCCACAAATCTACAAAAATTGATGTCAATTGATTGAGATTTATTAAAGTTTGTGTTTTTTGGAAGACTACTGGGGAGAAATTTTTATATGGGTGTCAATTATGGATCAAAAAATCATCAATTGTACTCAATTAAATAATCAAATCAATTGAGTATGCAATCTATTCAACTGTTCATATTCTCAATTGCAATTCCAATGAATTTATTTTGAATGCTTTTACTAACAATTGCTATTAGGCTCGTCCAGCTTTAATGGTCGCCGGTCGTCGTTTCGCTTCAGCTAAAGCTCAACCAACTGAAGTTTCTTCAATCTTAGAAGAACGTATCAGAGGTGTCTCTGAAGAAGCTAACTTAAATGAAACTGGTAGAGTTTTATCTGTTGGGTAAGTTTACATTCTTATTTTTTTTTTGGCTCGCATTTTAGGAGGGAAGGAAATCAACAGATTGAAAGATTTCAGTACAAGCATAGAGGATTTTAATCAGATTCAATACATCATCGTGAAATTCAAAAGTCAATTGATATAATGCTTTAAATCTCAACAGTTGTTGTCACCAAAAGTTTGTCTTCGATTCGTCGTTTAGTGCAAAATTTCCCATCCCCTAGTTTTTCTTGCACCCATGTTTTTTTCTTCCCGAGTTTTTTTCTTCGTCCACCCCCTGAAAAATTTTAAGCTCAATCAAAACAAGAATAACAACAACACAACAACATTGAAACTCAAATAACTCAATTGAATTATAATCTTGTTCATCTTACTCTCCTAATTGTTGTTGTCAAGGAAAAAAATCATTCAGCTTTTCTGAATTAATTACTAACTAAATATAATAGTGATGGTATTGCCCGTGTTTTCGGTTTAAACAATGTCCAAGCTGAAGAATTAGTTGAATTCTCTTCAGGTGTTAAAGGTATGGCCTTAAATTTGGAACCAGGTCAAGTCGGTATTGTCTTGTTCGGTTCTGATCGTTTAGTTAAAGAAGGTTCAACCGTTAAACGTACTGGTAAAATTGTTGATGTTCCAGTCGGTCCAAAATTATTAGGTAGAGTTGTTGATGCTTTAGGTAACCCAATTGATGGTAAAGGTCCAATTGAATCTGAAAAACATTCAAGAGCTCAAGTTAAAGCTCCAGGTATTTTACCAAGAAGATCAGTTTTCGAACCAGTTCAAACTGGTTTAAAATCTGTTGATGCTTTAGTCCCAATTGGTAGAGGTCAAAGAGAATTGATTATTGGTGATCGTCAAACCGGTAAAACCGCTGTTGCTATTGATACCATCTTAAATCAAAAAAGATGGAACAACGGTGCTGATGAATCTAAAAAATTATACTGTGTTTACGTTGCTGTCGGTCAAAAAAGATCAACTGTTGCTCAATTAGTTCAAACTTTAGAACAACATGATGCTTTGAAATACTCCATCATTGTTGCTGCTACTGCTTCAGAAGCTGCTCCATTACAATATATTGCTCCTTTCACCGCTTCTGCTATTGGTGAATGGTTCAGAGACAATGGTAGACACGCTTTAATCATCTATGATGATTTATCAAAACAAGCTGTTGCTTACCGTCAATTATCTTTGTTATTGAGACGTCCACCAGGTCGTGAAGCTTACCCAGGTGATGTTTTCTACTTACATTCAAGATTATTAGAAAGAGCTGCTAAATTAAACGATTCATTAGGTGGTGGTTCATTAACTGCTTTACCAGTTATTGAAACCCAAGGTGGTGATGTTTCAGCTTATATTCCAACTAACGTTATTTCCATTACTGATGGTCAAATTTTCTTAGAAGCTGAATTATTCTACAAAGGTATCAGACCAGCTATTAACGTTGGTTTATCAGTTTCTCGTGTCGGTTCTGCTGCTCAAGTTAAAGCTATGAAACAAGTTGCTGGTTCATTAAAACTTTTCTTAGCCCAATACAGAGAAGTTGCTGCTTTCGCTCAATTCGGTTCTGATTTAGATGCTTCAACTAAACAAACTTTAGCTAGAGGTGAACGTTTAACTCAATTATTGAAACAAAAACAATACTCACCATTAGCTGCTGAAGAACAAGTTCCATTGATCTACGCTGGTGTTAACGGTTTCTTAGATCAAGTTGCTTTAGAAAGAATTGGTGAATTTGAAACTGAATTCTTAGCTACCTTAAAAGCTAACAACACTGACATTCTTGATGCTATTAGAGAAAAAGGTCAATTATCTGATGAATTGTTAGGTAAATTGAAATCTGCTACTGAACAATTCGTTGCTACTTTCTAAATTTAGTTTTAGTTTGTTTGCATCTGAGTTCATTAACAAAAACTTTATTCTAGAAATTATCTAGATTATTCAGTCATATATTCATATTTCAATTAACTTTTTTATATATCAAACAAATCTGATGTTATTATGCCTTCATAGAAAAAAAAATGCAAAAAATATAAAAATAATTCCGGGAAAGATTATCTTTGAAAGAATCATTAATGAACGGTTTTATTTTATAAATTAAATAAAATTACACTTAAAATAAATATGTCACGATAAATTTTGAAAATGTAGTTAAAATCTCCTGATTTGTTTCAATTTATAATTATACATCTTAGTAAAATTTGACATCACCAACACTTTGGTCGCGAAGTTTTGAGATTGTTGTAGGTGAAAAAACCTCCAGCCTAATATGGAAGATAATATCCAACATTCGGTCAAATAGATATCAGAGGCTCTCTCAGTAAGGTTGATCTGCTATTTATATATACAATGAGTGAAAGAGTCACATTTGATGAGCTGTATCGTCGCTCTACACAATATAGAAAATGGTCATTCACAAAAGATGGACTACAGCAAAGAAGAAGATCAATTAATCAAAAAGGTTTAGATCGAGTTGAAAAAGTATTGAATGAAACACCAGAAGTTGATTCAAGTCAGATTGAAAGAGTTACAGTGGATGAAGAACAAAAATTGATTTCTTTCCATTCAAGAAGGATAATAATGCTAGCCAAATACTTTAATATGCCATCTCAGGTCCGAGTAAGTCATTTTGAAGCTTGACAAAATTTGACAATTGAAAACTAACATTACATCTTTAGGCTACTGCTATTTCATTTTTAAGAAAGTTTTATCTTGTGAATAGTGTAATGGAATATCATCCAAAATTAGTTCTTTTGACATGTTTATTTTTAGCTGCTAAATCAGAAAATTTCTTTATAAGTATAGCGTCTTTTTCTAAAAGAATTCCCAAAACAACACCAGAGTCTATTTTATCTTTAGAATTTGAAATTTTACAATCGCTACAATTCACTTTATTTGTTCATCATCCATTTAGACCATTATATGGATTTTTCTTTGATATACAAGAAGTTTTGAAAGGTGAAATATCTGTTAAAGAATTGGGTAAAATTTATGACGGTGCTAGAAATTTGATCAATGATGCTTTAATCTCTGATGCTGTTTATTATTACACCCCACCACAAATAGCACTAGCATGTCTAAAACAAATAGATGAAGGTGTTACATTGAAATATTTGAGAAAAAAGTTTGGACAATCTGATGTTAAAAAGGAAAAGGTAGAAATTAAAGAAGTTAAAGAAGAGGATCAAGAAATGAAAGATGAAACACCACAAGAAAAAAAGATTGAAAATCATCTTGAACAATTAATAAAAGTTATAACGGATTGTCATCAAGTTATCTCTACAGCACAAGATCCAACTAAAGAAGAAGCCACAATAATTGATAAAAAAGTCCAATATTGTTTGAATCCATCATTATTATTGAAAAGAAAGAGAGAAGGTGAAACACCTGAATCTCAAGATCCAAATAAAAGACAAAGGACAGAATCTGTTGAACCTTCTTCCACCACACCAGCTACGAACTAGACTAATAAATATAAATCATTTCATGACAATCTTCAAGTAGATTTATAATTACAAATCGATCGATTAATTGTAGAGTATACGTAAGCAGTGACTCGCATATTGTAGTTTGGTTCAATGATTCTGAAATTGATCTATAAATCAGCCTTGTAATGATCTTAATGCAGTATAAAAGGCGAGTACAATTGGTATTTGTGGACCGCGAATATGAAGATAAGTTTTCCTTGGGTTGTCATGGAGATTATTTAAATGTAAACAAAAGTCAGTTTGTGATCCATAAGTGAAAAAGGAACTATTGAAATCCCAAACTTTAGAAAGAAGCCAGGAAAGGACTGACAAGCTAACCATCAAAAGATATAAGATACAAGATGGCTTATGTTCAATCAAAAGTGATGAAGAAGAGGCTTCAAGAGAAGCGTAGGGTTAGTGGTGCTTCGTTGTTGAGGGATGAACTTGATAATGATAATGCTGGAAAGAGTTCGCTTTTGGATAGTTTACCAGCATTTCAGCAAAATAAAGGTGTTATGATGGCTAATTTTGAAGAATGGATCAAGATGGCAACTGATAACAAGATCAATACCACAAACAGTTGGAATTTTGCATTGATTGATTATTTCTATGATTTAAACGTGTTAAGAGAAAGTGATAATAACATCAATTTTCAAAAAGCTAGTGCCACATTAGATGGGTGTGTTAAGATTTATTCATCAAGAGTTGATTCTGTGGCTACAGAAACTGGTAGATTACTTAGTGGTCTTGCAGCTAGAAAACAACAAGAAGCTGAACAAAAGGCAAAAAATCGTGAAAATGGTGAAGCCAATGAAGATGGCGAAGAAGGTGATAGTGATGTTGAAGTAGATGAGGATGGTGAACCTACAACTAAGAAGGCTCGTAGAAACAGATATGTTAAAAAGGAGCTGGGTGATACATTGGTTCCATTTGAATCTATACAAGTTAAAAAGCTATCACAAGAGCTGAGTATAGATCCTTTATTCAAGAAAACCTTAGCTGAATTTGATGAAGGTGGTGCTAAAAGTTTATTGTTGAACACTTTACATATGGATAATCATACAAGAGTTGTTTTCGATGCTACAACTGGTGAGTCTAAGGAAAATCTGCGTGATGATGAAGATCCAGATCAAGAAGAGGACAAGGTTAAAGATGAAGATCATGATATCAATATGGAAATGTCTGGTATCGAAGAAGGAGATATAAATATTGGTGATTTAAAACATCTTGTTTATAATGAAGATGAAGACCTTGATGATCTGTTGGTATGTCCTTCTTTTGAACATCTAGGATCTGTGCTGAAAGATGTTAATAGAGCCAAATCCTTGTTGAATGATGTTAACCAGCAAAATATAAATATTCCTGATGATTTCTCCGCTTCACATCATAGTATCAATGCCTCTAATGCTGGAGGAAATGATGATTTTGGATTTGATTTCGGTGGTGCTAATGATTTTGATGATGATGATGGTGGTAATTCGTTTGGTGATTTAGACCAAGAAGCTGCAGCTGTTTTATTCCAAGATGAAAATCAAGACCCAGATGATGAAGATACAAAAATTGTTGCAAACGTTGTTGATCAAGATCTTATGGCATATTTTGATCATACACTGAGAAGAAATTGGGCAGGTCCTGAACATTGGAAAGTTAAACAATTAAAAAAAGGTAAACAAGATCTTCAATCATCTACTAATAACGGTGCTGAAAAGAAGAGAAAACCTAAGAAGGAACTTGTCATAAATTTTATGGAAGAGAATGATGAAGATGAAGAAGATAAAATTTTTGCAAAAAGTAAAAATCCCACAACAATACCCGTTGAACAACAAGAATCAGAAGATACACATTTACTACCCGATGATGTCTATTTTTCTTCTGAGCAGCTAGTTAGATTATTCCTCAAACCAGATCAGAAATTAAAAGTGTTTCAAAAGAAATCCAAACAGACTAAATTTGAAGAAGCAGATCAAACAAGACAAGAAGACAATAGACAAGTTGATGCAACATTTTGGGCTGATAACTATAAGAATAATGATAATCAAGATGATGGATTTGATGACTATGCTGGTGGTGGTGACGATATTGATTTTGGAGGACCTGATGACTTTGATGATGGTGATAATATTTTCAATACAGATAATATCGAAGATAAACTTGAATTTGGAACACAACTTATCACAGGTGGGAAGAAAGTTAAATCAGAATATGTCAATTATTCAAAAACAGCTAAGAATGTCAATGTTAAGTACTTGAAAGATAATCTTTGGGATGCAATTGAAGTTAAGAAAGAAGAACCTGAACGAAACTTTAGTGAAGTGGTCCAAGATATTGGTAAGTTGTATCCAAAGGAAGAAAAGAAAGATTTATCCACCAGTTTTTTCTTCATTTGTCTCTTACATTTGGCAAATGAACACTCCTTGGACCTTGAAAGTAATGAGCAGCTCACTGATTTACGGATCAAAGGTTTAATACCATAAACAATGATATAATGGACTTATAGATAACTTTTATAAAACATTTAATGAATAAATTATGTATTTCGTTACTAATCTCTTATGTAAATACACAATAATCGCGAATGCGCGAATTCGTTTTTTGAACACGAGAAATTCTGAGATTCTGGACAATTCCAATAGAAGCGCGGGAATCGAGATCGTTGGGTAGGGTTTTGGCTTGGGAGCCTAAATTAATTAATTACTCAGTTGGAATAAGCTAGAGAAATATTTGGATTTATCATCTATACTCCTCTCCATTTCTATTCATATTCCAAACATTTCCCGTGGTCTGAGTTTTTGCTATTCAAAAGTGCAAAATAGTTAGTTAAATTTCAGCTCCACTATTGGCTTTCGCTTTTCCCAGAATTAATTTTGAGTCAAAAACCAACTGAGGTTTTCACAATATTATACACATTGATTATAAATTGCCACTAAACAAAGATATATGATCAGAACGTCAAACTTGATAAATAGGGCTGGTCCTCAGATATTGAGGATACATGCTTCCAGGTATGCCCTTCCTGCTGTCAAAAAAGTCTTTTCACAGAGCATTAGATTAGCTTCAAGCTCAACATATTCACAATTAGCATCAAAGGAACAATTAGCAAATCGTGAGCTAAGTAATCCAGAAATTCAAGCAGATTTCTTTAAAAGTCTGTTGAAGGCAAATTATCCACAATATGTTGTATCAAGATATGAAACTGGAGGTATTGCAACTTCAAATGAATGTACTCAAATATACGGTGAAGCTTTGAAAAAATTAGGTAAATTTGCCGAAGCTGATGCTGTTTTCAAAAGTATTCCAGCTGGAGGATCTAATGTTGGGTTAGGTAATAGTGGTTTGAATTATGGAAGTCGTAATGAACCTGTTCATGTTGTCATTACTGAATCTACTTGGACTATGGTTTCCAAATGGATTAAATGGTTAATTCCAGTTGGGTTAATTACTTGGGGTGTTATGGAAGGTTTCACATATTTGGTTGAATCTGGTACAATTTTCAAAAGTTCAGAAGTTGCTGATAAATCAGTTGATATGTCAAAAGTTACTGTTAAATTTGAAGATGTTAGAGGTGCTGATGAAGCTCGTGCTGAATTAGAAGAAATTGTTGATTTTTTGAAAGATCCAACAAAATTCACTGGGTTAGGTGGTAAATTACCAAAAGGTGTTTTATTAACAGGTCCTCCAGGTACTGGTAAAACTTTATTAGCAAGAGCTACTGCAGGTGAAGCTGGTGTTCCATTTTTTTTCATGTCAGGTTCAGAATTTGATGAATTATATGTAGGTGTTGGTGCTAAAAGAGTTCGTGAATTGTTTACTCAAGCAAGAGCTCATTCACCAGCTATTATTTTCATTGATGAATTAGATGCTATTGGAGGTAAACGTAATCCAAAAGATCAAGCTTATGCTAAACAAACTTTGAATCAATTGTTAGTTGAATTGGATGGGTTTTCACAAACCACAGGTATTATAATTATTGGTGCTACAAATTTCCCAGAATCATTAGATAAAGCTTTAACACGTCCTGGTAGATTTGATAAATTGGTTAATGTTGATTTACCAGATGTTCGTGGTCGTGCCGATATCTTAAAACATCATATGAAGAATGTTGAAATTGCTAAAAATGTTGATCCAACAATCATTGCAAGAGGTACACCAGGTTTATCAGGTGCTGAATTAATGAACTTAGTTAATCAAGCTGCTGTTTATGCTTCTCAACAAAATGCTTTAGCTGTTGATATGAACCATTTCGAATGGGCTAAAGATAAGATCTTAATGGGTGCAGCAAGAAAAACTATGGTTATGACTGAAGCTACAAGAAGAGCTACTGCTTATCATGAAGCTGGTCATGCTATTATGGCATTATATACCCCAGGTGCTACATCATTATATAAAGCTACAATTTTACCAAGAGGTCGTGCTTTAGGTATAACTTTCCAATTACCAGAAATGGATAAAGTTGATATTACTAAAAGAGAATGTCTTGCAAGATTAGATGTATGTATGGGTGGTAAAATTGCTGAAGAAATGATTTATGGATTAGAAAATACAACAAGTGGATGTGGTTCAGATTTAAGTAATGCTACAAATACAGCAAGAGCCATGGTTACCCAATATGGTATGTCAACTAAAGTTGGTCCAATCTCATTAGCTGAAAAATGGGAATCATGGTCACCAAAATTACGTGATACTGCAGATAATGAAGTTTTAGAAATGTTGAAAGATTCAGAAGAAAGAACTAGACAAGTATTAAAAGAAAAACATCAAGAATTAGAAAGATTAGCTCAAGGATTAATTGAATATGAAACATTAAATAAAGAAGAAATTGAAAAAATTGTTAAAGGTGAATCAATTGGAAGAAGTAAAACTGTTACAAATACCGTTGTTGATTCTCCAGATGATGATGAACGCCAAAAGATTGGTAAACAACCATTTCCTATAATGACTGAAGCATAAAGAAATCCCCATGTATTAATAGTATTATATTAGACTTACTATACGACAGAAAACAAAGAAAAAAAGGAGTTAAAACAAGAGTTGTTGAAGCAGCTACAAATCAATTTCATATACCAAATCAGAATATATTTTTTTACAGAAAATCTTCATGATGCATTAGTCAATTGTAAATAATATACATTATGATAATCTAAATTTTTTGAGTCTGTAGTTACTTTTTCAACTTTTTATTTATTTATACCTGTTGTTGCAAGCTTTGTAAAACTTTACTCTCTTCATGACTAAAATCAAATTTTAACTTTTTACCGAAAAATTCATCACCTTGTAAAGATCTCATTGCTATATTTGCACTTTTTGGATCTGTAAATACTATAAATGCTTGACCTCTTAGTTTATTGTTACCAGGTATATTTATTTCCAACACGTCACCAAAAGTTGTGAAAAGGATGTATAGATTATGTTTTAATGTATCATAATGAATGTTATCATTTAGGTTTGAAATGTGTAATGTGCTTGTCTGTTGAGCTTGTTGGTTTTCTTGTTCTTGTGGTTGATCACTGGGTATTCTAGACATGTTTGTTTCTTCAATGGCTTCTTGTATAGTTGTAACTATATTTTAGTAGTAGTTGCGACTTATTGTAATGGGAAGGGAGCTTGACTTCAATTCGTATGTATAAGAAAATCTTGAAAGTAAAGTGAAAATTCCGCGAATTCACTCCAAGATTTCAATTTTGGCATAAACTTCTGAATCTCTAATTAATCTAAATTTCACATTTTTGAAATCTCACGCGTTTGAAAGAGTTTTGAATATGGTTTGTTGTCAATTTGAAGCTCATAATGAATAGTGTTCAGGGCGCTAAAGGTGCAGTTTCCGACTCTTTGTCCTCTTTGTTGCTGCAACACGAATACGCTAGAAAAGGTGCTGAAGTTGGGTTCCATGACTGGGGTTTGCAAGGTGCCACTTTGATTACAGATATAGAAAAGGTACTTGAAAGTGTGGGTAAAGGAGTGGATTATGAAGCTTTGACAAGATACATTTTCTCAAAGGGTGACACTGAGGTTATGAAGTTCTTGCTGGAAAATTTCACTGATATCCCAAAGATTTCTTCAAGAGATGAATTGATCTTATTCTTTTTGTATTTTGGGGTAAATCAAGATGAATTACACAATATGTTAGTTGGTACTGTCAAGAATTTAGCTGCTATATGTAAGTCGTTCAATCATGGTAGAACTAATAGGCTTTTTGAGTGCTCAATTGCAAATTTACCAATACTTCAATCTGATTGTGATACGAAACAATTGTGTGCAATAATAGAAGATCATCTACTTCATCAAAGGTTTGATCACACTGAAACTTATATTTATAACACAGCGGTAAACAAAAAGAGAAAAGCTGATGAATTAAATGATCTAGGGGATTGTGATGATGAATGTTTTAGCTGTGAAACTGCTATTGCTGATCCAAATGATGTTGAAATACTCGCAGATTCTTATGCCGGATCTTTTTCTGAAGAAGTATCTGATTCTGAATTGGAGCTATATCTGTGTAAAGATACAACTTCACCGAGTGTTATGAATCTACCATCTTGTCAGGGCGCTAATAGCCTAATGGAAACAGTACCTGTGCATCATTCAACTAAAAAGCAAAAAGTTGGAAAGGAATATTCAAGAACTAGACATCTATCAACCATATCGCCAGTGGAATTTAACACTAATTGCATTACATCAAAAGTTTTAACCAAAGATTTACCTGGTTTAAATATTGATAGTTTGGCTCCAATAACAAATAATACTTCCCAAACTAGTATCAAACCTTTTCAATTCATTTTGAGAAATTTCAAAGGGGCTCTGATTGTTTGTGAACATGTATCGAATAGTGAAACATTTACTAAATTGTTCAATCGCTCTAGAAAGATAATTGACCCAAAGAAAGAAAAACGTATCTTGTTTAGATTTAAAGACAAGAGGGTCTATGGCTATCAAACACCCGAGATTATTCAGGCAAGTAGATCAGATAAAAACTTTATTGATGTTGAAGTTCACAATTGGCAAAGGATATCAATTAGATGGATGGAGACTGGTCATGAAAGTCGTTACAGGATAGTTGGTCTGGAACCCTTGAAACATATTTTAAAATCAATTCTATCAAAAAGCGGAAATGAATCGAATGCAAATATTGAAGCTCTAATTTTAAGTATAGATGGGAAAAAATTGGATGTGAATAAGAATTATTTTGAATTAGGTATTGATGAGACTGATGTAATTCAAGCTGTGTTTGGTTCTGGTAATTCACTTATTTAATCAAAAGTTCATAGTGTCTGAGTATTAAGTCCCGTATATCTGAAGCCATTTCCAATCAATAGGTTTATAATTTAATGATCTATCTTTGGATCATTCTTTATGTAATATTCAGTTGGTTCTAACTTCTGAGTCCTGACTTCATCGAACGCGTAAACGCGTAATAATAGATCTGATGCAATTAATATATTCTGGTATGAGGACGCACAATATATGGGAAAAAAGAATAATCCTTATAATTTATGGCACTTAACTTAACCGAGACATAATACAAACCTTTTCTCAAATTCATTCAGCTCTAAAGGGGATATGGCTGCTAATCAAGAGGTCAATGACAGCTCTTCAGATCCAGACTCTGTCTCTTTGCTTTTGTTACAATATGAATATACACAGAAAAGTTTAGAGGTTGATCTTCATCAATGGAGTTTACAAGATCAAAGTTTGGTATCAAAGATTGAACAATTGATTGATAAGATTGAAAAACCAGTCAATTACGAAGTTCTGACTAAACTTATATTGTTCAAGGGGGATATTGGGGTATTACAATGTCTGCAAAGATCTCATGCTAAAATTCCAAAGTTCGAATCAAAAGATGAACTATTAACATTCTTCAAATATTTTGGTCTCAGTTCAGAACAAATGAAAGAAATCTTATTCAAAAGTCTTAAAAATCTATCTGGAATCTGTAATTTCTTATCAAGCAACAACAATGAAACCAAAAAGTGTCATCAAGAACTTCCTATACTGCAATCAACTTGTGAACTTTCAAAACTGTCAAGTATTATTGAAAACAATATACTTTATAAAAAATTTGATGATAATGAAGATCAATCTCACCCAAACTCTCAAATTGAAGAAGAAGAAACACCTTCAAAAAGGAAGAAAAAAGATATTGAAAGGAGAAGCTCTTCCATTTATGTTCCTGCAAAATCATTACCTCAACCACCAACTGCAAGTTATCCAAATTTAAATAATAATGCTAGACAGCTAGAATCATCCCCAAATTTAGTTGAATCAAGATCATTAGCTCATCATCCTGGCCAAAACCCAATAAAATCAGAGCCAGTTGCTTCACGCTCTTTCAAGAATAGTTTACGGGACACCTTTGAAGAACCTCATCCCAAAAGACCTTCATTTTTTAATCCGCGTCGCAATAACGATCCTGGGTTGACTGAAGAGGAATCAATACTCACAAATAGAACTTTCCCAGTCGTTAGACCTCCTTCCAGTCCTCCAGAAGCAAATTTACCACCATTACCAAAAGATGATATCTTCAAAGTCAGAAAGGAAATTGACCTTGATACAGTGAAACCTGCACAAACAACTGATAACAAATCAAAAAGTCATGTTAAAGATGAAGAAGATTCTTCATTATACAGATTCACTATAGCAGACAATTATGGAAATAAATCAACATATATTAATACTTCAAAAGATTCACAATTTGCTAAAACATTTAAATCTTTTTTGAGGATGTATCATAAAGGTTGTGATCTTGAAGCAACATTTATGTTTGGGGATAAAAGCGCTCGCTTTCGTGATTCACCTGCAACATTAGGGTTCAAAAGTATAGGAGATAATTTTTTGAATGTTGAGGTTAGAAAATGGTTTCTTGTTGAGATACGAAGTGGTAAAAATTTATTTGATTTCAAAGCTACTTATACAGTATACGATGATCTACCATTGAAAACTACATTTTTTTTATATACTGATTCATATAGATTAAAATTTGATGTTCGTGGGAAATTTAATTTTAAATTTAAACTCAATGATCAAGAAATTAATCTAGATTCAACATGTAAAGAAATAGGTTTTAAGAGAAAAGATGTGATTATCGCTGAAGAAATGAAAAGAAATGAATAATTTTAATTGACATTTGACTTATATATGATTACATTACGTGATTGTTTAACGAATTTACGCCTTATAGAAAGAATACATATTTTCATAACTTGTATTATATATGCATGTATTATATTCATAAAATGTAAATCATTAAGAAACAGTTCAATATGTAACCACATAAATCATTTTGATAATTTCAATGCACTTTTCATTGCATTTTGAACACAATCTGGTACACCAGCCCCATCACCAAAACTCATACCACCAATACTTAATCTTTCACCAAATTCATTTTTAACACTTTCTAAAAATTTAAATTTTAATTCATCATAACCTGTATGAAATTGTGGTAAACAATTTGGAATTAATAAAGAATCAATATAAAAATCTGTATCTTGAGATAATTTAGTAAAATCTAAACCTAATTGATTTTCTAATGCATCTTTAGCTGCTCTTATTGAAGTTTCTCTTGATGGTATCTTGTGATTTGTCCAATAATGACCACCCATCATTATAGTTAATTTTGTATATTGAGATTCTGAATCATAATGAGGTTCAATTTCTGGGAATTTTGGCTTTTCTGAAGTTTCATTTGTTGATGTTAATGCTTTGAAAGTATCCTCGGTGAATAATTTAGATGATGATTTTTCAATATCAGAATCAAAAATAACACCAAGAACTCTTTCATTATTTTTATTTGATTTTGGGATTAAATAACCAAATCCATGATTTTTTAAAACATTTGAATTTATATAAAGATTAACCAAAAAAATATTTATAAATTTTAATTCTTGAGCTATTAAAGCAGTTGGTGAATCTTCTTTCCCTGTAGTCATTAATTTCCCATTTTGTAAGAATTCAGCAAATGTTGAAGCATTAACCGTGGATCTAACATGATGAAACTCTGTAGAATGACCAGATGATGTTGTTAATGTGATTAATTTATTTTGATTTTTTGTTAAAGATATTATAGGATCATTATGGATGAATTTTATTTTAGAATTTTTAGATAAATTTTCTTTAATTAAACTTGGGAAAGTTTCAAGACCTTTTGATAATACAATCATTGGGAATTTTGTTAATAATGATTTTAAATCTGAAATTTTATAATTTGAATTTGGAAATGCAGTTTCATAATCTTTTAATACATTGGAAATTTCAATTTTTTTAGAATCATCATTTTTATTTTGGAACTTTAATGATTTTAATAACATTGATTTAACAATTGAACCATGTTGTAATTCAGATTCATACATTGATTTTAAAGTTGTTTTGGCACTAAGTTTGGATATATCAGCAGCATAAATTCCATTAAATACAGCAGACATGATATTATTGGGTAAAGATTTCCCAAATCTTCTTGTAAGAAATGATTCAACACTTTCATCTTTTTTATTTAATTTTTGAGGTTTAAATATTTCAGTAAGGAAACCTGGTAATAAACCTTTCCCCAATGAAGATCTAAGGAAATTATAAGTTGATGGTAAACTATTTGGTACTTGAATTAATTCATTTTCAGGACTTAATAAATATTTTTTATTTGCAATTGAATTTGAAGGTATAACATTTATAACATCTTTATGACCCATTTTAATTAAAGTATCAATCATTATAGTGGTTCCATCACTTGCACCTCTTAAAGTTCTTGGACCTTTTTCCAATTTAATCTTTTCACCATTGAAATTATGTAACTCTGTATTAATATAACCACCAAATCTTGAAGATCTTTCAAATATTGTAAAGTTCAAATCTGGTCTTAGTTTTGAAAGGAAATAAACGAATGAAAGACCAGATATACCACCACCTATCACAGCAACGTTTGAGTTTCTAACCAGTGACATTATTGACTATGCTATATCAACGATAAATTCATATGAACAAACAGAGGATAGAAGAACAATGAAGCAAAAGAAAAACTGTCGTATAAATACTAATTTTTTGCAGTGTTATGATGCATTATATCGGATGCCTATATCTAATATAGACAAAAAGAAATCCGTGATTATGTCATCCAAAGCGTGTGTATTATGTAATGACTGTCTGCCAATTAAATGTATGTATTATCCCGTGTCACTATTAAGTATGGTATCGGTTTAAAATTTAAATTTTTAAATTTCGGTGTTTTAAATTGCTATGAATTTGAATTTGCACCCCTCTGGAAACACATTGGGAACAAAAATTCAATGACAGTGCGCTAAACTTTAACGGGAGCATCGATGATCTCCACTGCGATGTTCAACCGAGGATGGATTTGATTAGTATTTATATACAAATGAGAATCACAATTATCAACACTTTCACCATTTTTCTATCAATTAGTGAACAGACAAACAAACAACAATCGTTAGGTTCCTAGACTCGCTATTGTATCAGATTACTCACTGATTCTGCAGGTCCACACACACAATCCATTTCAATTCCGCTGCTTGATCCCGTCTGTCTCCTTTTGTTAAGATTAACCGCTGAAGAAGTTCAAACAATAGCTACTATTTTAATCAACCGCCATGTCCATTGCCACTGATAAACCACCATCAAAATCAGTTATTGAATTGATTCCAAATGCTCAAGAGTTCCAATTGAAAGGTGATCAATTTGATTTCCAAAAATATTTTGATACTTTACCTTTGCCTTCATTCAATGATAAAGATGTTCAATCATCTAGATTACCAAATTCAAAAGAAGCTGGATTTTCATCAATTTATAGATCTTCATTATGTCAAGATGGGTTAATCTCCACTGTTCATCCTGATTTAGATACAAGTCATTCTATTTTCCAAAAAGCTGTTGAATTATATGGTGAACGTGATTTATTCGGTGTTAGAAAATTTGATAGATCAACTGGTAAATTTGATGATGATTTCACTTATCAAACTTATAATGAAATTGCTACAAGAAGAACTAATTTAGGTTCCGGTATAAAGACTCTTTTACCTCAAGATGAAAAATTTGTTGTATCATTATTCAGTCCAAATCGTCCAGAATGGTTATTAACTCAATTGGCTTCAAGTGCTCATTCATTAACAATCACTGCTCTTTATGATACTTTAGGTGCTAATACTGCTGAATATATTTTAAATTTTACCGATTCACCAATTTTATTTTGTCCATTAAACAAAATTTCAAATGTATTAAACAATATAACAACTTCTGCTAAAAAAGTTCCAAATTTAAAATACATCATTTCAATGGATCCATTAGATTTTGACTTGGATTTTGGTTTAATTCAATTAGGTAAATCTCAAGGTATTTCTATAATGTCTATTCATCAATTAGAAAAAATTGGTGAACAAAATCCAGTTCCATTCACTGAACCTACTCCAGATACTAGATTTGGTATTTCATTTACTTCAGGTACAACTGGTAATCCAAAAGGTGTTGTTTTAAATCATGAACAAATGGCATCTGGTATTGGTGCATGTATAGCTGTGGTTAATAAACCTGATAATGTTCCAAGAGAAGCTCAATATCAAAGTTATTGCTTCTTACCATTGGCTCATATTTATGAATTATTAGCTTCAAATTTACAAATTGCAAGAGGTTCAAAAATTGCTTTTCCTCATGATCCAAATCCAATAACTTTAGTGGAAAATTTAAAAATTGTTAAACCACATTTTATTAGTCTTGTTCCAAGGGTATTAAATAAATTTGAAGCTGTTTTAAAACAAGGTTTAAATTCTGATTATAAAGGTCAAATGGTTTTAAGTTTATTATTAAGTGATTCAACTCCAAATTGGTTGAAAAAATCATTACAAAATAAAACTAGAAAAGTTTTAGGTTTTGATAGATTGAATTTTATCGTTAGTGGATCAGCTCCAATTAATCCATCAACTGCAGCTTTCCTTTCAAAAGTTTTAGGTGTTGCTTTTAAACAAGGTTATGGATTAACTGAATCAACATCAGGTACTAATTCATCAAGTTTAAATGATAGTGATTTTGGATCTTCAGGTTCATTACATCCAAGTACAGATGCAAGATTAAGAGATGTTCCAGAAATGGGTTATTTAACAACAGATTCAAATGGTAATGAATTAGAAGAACCACAAGGTGAATTATTATTAAGAGGTCCACAAATTTTCAAAGAATATTATAAAAATCAAAAAGCTACAGATGAAGTTTTACAAAATGGTTGGTTTTCAACTGGTGATATTGCAACTTTTGATAAATATGGTAGAGTTTATATTATTGATCGTGTTAAAAATTTCTTTAAATTAGCTCAAGGTGAATATATTTCACCTGAAAAATTGGAAAATATTTACTTAAGTGAATGTCCTTATATAACACAAATTTTCATTACTGGTAAATCTGTTGAAAGATATTTAGTTGGTATTGTTGGATTAGATCCAATAGCTGTTAAAAGACTTTTTAAAAAATTCCATGGTTTTAAAACAGATGATGATTTAATCAATGGTATTAATTCATCACCAGAATTAAAGAAATATTTATTAAACAAGATGAATTCAAAAGCTAAAGAATTACAAGGTTTTGAAAAAATTCATAATTTAAAAGTTGCAATTGAACCATTAAAAATTACAGATGAAACTATAACACCAACTCAAAAAATTAAAAGAAATGTTTGTAATAAATTCTTTAGAAATGAAGTTGAAGAATTATATCAAGAAGGTGATTTAATTCGTGGGGAAAAGATTTAGACGTTCTTAGATACTCATGTGAGATATATAATGGTCAATCGAATCCAACAGTGTATATATATAACCATTAAATTACAATATATGCCTCATGATGGCCGGTAATATATAGATTTGTAATTATAATTCTTTGTAATGCACAAGCTGTGACTAGTAGCTATTACAATATATGGATCATATTAAATATTAGCTTATAACCGTGAAAGACTTTAAGGCCTGAGCGTCCAAAATTAGTATTTTTTTGAGTGAAAGTTGTCATCATTCTCCCATGGATACAATTCATTACTATGAATCTCAATTGAGCTTATATAATTGGCGTCGACCAGCTTAAAATGATGTTTATACTCCTACAATCTCAAGTTAAAGATGACCCGTTTACAATGGCAGACACATTGTTGAATTCCGACCATCGGTAAAATTGTTTTTAAAAAACACCAGTGCCAGGCTGGACGGCCTGTTGGTACTGGGCTAATATTTGGTACCCAATAAGTAGAATTTACAGCTGAACGTTAATAAACGCTATGTTATGTACTCTTGAATTTTAAAGTTCAAATTCTTACGCTTCTCTTTAATTACTTGAATAATATCGGAAATGTGTTTTTGTGACGGTTAAATTAAATTTGTTCCTTACCCTCGGATTTAGTTGTTGGTCAAATTGGGTTACACAAAAGTATATACAACTAGTCTCTACTATCAAGCCATCAAATTTCTAATGATTTAATTAGAAGACTAGTCTCCATTTGAAATTTATACTGTAAAACTTGAATAAAGTTCATAGTTATTGCTACCCTCGGAAGTATCTTAGATGAATTTATATGCTGAATATTTAATAGCGTTATAAATTATAGGCCTTAATTATTTGAACAGATCAAATTCGCGCGTGATTTTATTAATAAATTCAGAAGTGGAGTTTGTTAGCAAAGTGATCATTTTTGATAAAAAACTGACTCTAAGAAGGTATTTACTCAAATTGGTAAACTAGTTTTAAAAATGGCTTTTAGAATTTTGTATGGATATTGGTAATCAAAGGTTGTTTAAATGAGTTGATTGTTGGTTGAATATTCATGTTTGTGTTGGAGTGTTGATGTTGGGGTTTCACATAAACCACAAATATATAAACATCAATAAAACAGATATTTTTATGGATTTTGACTCCTTTGATATGAGATTATACAGTTTGCTGGATTGAAAGAGCGGCTAATATGAATACACTCACTGATTTGAATACTATAAGAGATAAGTTCCCAGAGGAAAAGATATATAAGGCAGTTCCAATACAAGGTACAGAGAAGCCAGGATTTTCACCAATTTATAGGAATTCTGCTTCGTTAAATAAATTGATTCCTAATCCATCTCCTGAATTGAATACTTTGCATGCTCTTTTTGAAAATGCTGTTAGGTTATTTGGTGATTCTGATTGTCTAGGTGAAAGATTGATGAACTCACAAACTGGTAAATTGGATGATTTCTTCACTTTTGAAACTTATAAACAAATCAATCAAAGAAAAATCAATATAGCTTCTGGCTTAATCAATTTAGTTACAAAACATCCAGATTTCACCTCTACTGAATCAAATGTTGATTCAATTACTGGGAAACCAAAATTTGTTGTTAGTGTCTCTGGGAGAAATAGTAAAGAAATGATCCTAACAGATTTGGCTACAAGATCTTTTTCAATTCCAAATACTGGTTTATATGAATCTTTAAATGATGATTCAGCTGCTCATATTTTGAAATTAAGTGAATCTCCGGTATTAGTTTGTAACAAAAATTTGATTCCTAAATTCCTAAAGATCAAGAAGAAATACAATATTAATACTTTGTTCCTTTTCATCTCTTATGACAAGTTGGATAAAAATGTTGATATACAACTGCTCAATGATACACAAAAAGCTGGTATTGACTTGACTGATTTCCAATATGTTGAAGAATTCGGTGAATCTCATAGATTATCACCAGATTTTAATATCCCAAAACCTGAAACTTTATACACTTTAGCATTCACATCAGGTACAACAGGTATGCCAAAAGGGGTTTATTTAACCCATGAAAATGCAACTGCAAATGTTACTGGATTTTTATTACATGCACCAAAACCTGCAACAAATTTATCACCTGAAAAATTTAGAGATTTTAGATATAATAAAGATTCTAGAGGTAAACAATTGAAAACTTTATGTTTTTTACCATTATTACACAATTATGAAAAATCAATTTCAAATTTTGAATTATCTTACGGTATCGCATTAGCATTACCTTCTAAACCTGGTCCAAAATCTCTTTTTGAAGATTTGAAAATAGTTCAACCTTCTTTATTCACTGGTGTTCCAAGAGTTTTCACATTGATTGAAAATAAGATTAAAGAATTCATTTCAAAAGCTGGTTTAAGCTTGGAAAAGGAAGAAGCTAAAACACAACTTGCTGTAAGAAAAGAGTTTGGTTTAGAATTCGTCTCGTATCTCATGTGTGCATCAGCTCCAATATCAAAAGAATCAATTATTTTCTTAAAGAAATCTATAGGTTGTGGATTTCTGAACTCTTATGGTGCAACTGAATGTTTTTCTGTCTTTACCTTTTCCAACCCGTATCAAGTTAAAGCAGGTTCATCAGGGCCAACTGGGCTGTCATGTGAAATTAAACTAAAAGATGTTCCAGAAATGGGTTATACCTCTAGTGATAAACCGCATCCTCGTGGTGAAGTTCTTGTACGTGGTTATTGTGTATTTTCACATTATTATAAGAATGAAGAGGCTACTAAAGCAGCAATTGATGATGAGGGTTGGTATCATACTGGTGATGTTGTTGCATTAGATGAAAGTGGTGATTTTTTCATTATTGATCGTGTTAAAAATTTCTTTAAATTGGCTCAAGGTGAATATGTTACTCCTGAAAGAGTTGAAAATATTTATTTAGCAAATAATCCACTGTTAACTCAATTATTTGTCCATGGTGATTCTTTCAGTAACTTCTTGATTGGAATTGCAGGTATAAATCCTGAAGCTGTGAAGGCTATTTTGAAGAAGCATTATAAACAAGGTGATATCCATTCTTTAGATACTAATGATTTATTGACATTATTAAATGATCAAAATTTCAAAAAAATTATGTTGGAAGAGATTTCAAAAAATATTTCAAAATCTGATTTACAAGGTTATGAAAAGTTACATAATTTACATTTTGATTTAGAACCATTAACAATTGAAAATGATGCCTTAACACCAAGTTTTAAATTGAAAAGAAGTTCTGCCAAAAAAGTTCATCTGGATAAGATTAAACGATTATATACTGAAGGATCTTTAGTGAAACCAAGAACTAAATTATGAATTTAATGATCATTTTATGAATAAGTTGAAGCACGTACGTGTTTTGTATAGTAAATGATGTGGAAAGAATACAGTATTATATGCAAATGTTATATGAGATCAAGTTAACGTTATAAACGCTATAGCTCTATTTGTAGTTGTAATAGTACTCGAGTTAATCAACCTTGCAAAGATTAATAGCAGTATTGTCTTTTGTGTAGTTATCACTATATAACTTCAGCCTGAATATCCGGTACAAATCATGGTTGTCTACAATAAGTGCACTTCGATCCGATGTGTCACCTCCGCACTTTTTGAGTTGTTTATTTTTTATAGCTCTTGTTTTTTGTTGGTGAAGGTCAAAGGGTCATGAAGATCACAAAAATGTATATAAAGTGGTGAAAAGGACAATGGATTATGGTTATTTATTGTTCCCATTCCTTATGGGAAGCTGAGCATAATGTTTTTAACAAAAGAGGATAGTCTGGAGATTCTAAGAGTTTGCAATTCATTACACAAGAAATATCCTCAGGAGAAAAAATTCAGATCAGTGGCGATTCCAGGAACTCAAGAAGCTGGATTCTCACCAATCTATAGAAATGAAGCATCAACTGATGAATTAATCAATTTGGTACACCCAAAACTACAGACTTTTCATGATTTCTTCCAACATTCGTTGAATTTGTATGGTGATGAGTATTGTTATGGTTATAGACCCATTGTTGATGGTGAAGCTCAAGATTATTTCCATTATTTGACATATAAGGAAGTTGAGATTAGGAAGGATAATTTTGCCAGTGGGTTGATTAATTTGGTCTTTAATCATCCAAATTTTGATAAAAATGATAAAGAATTTTATTATGAAGATGGTAAACCAAATTTTATGGTTTCTTTATTCAGTGGGAATCGTATAGAATGGAAATTGACAGATATGGCAACAAGTGATTATTCTTTACCAAATACAGCTTTATATGATACTTTAGGTCCTGATGCTTCAAGGTATATATTGGAATTGACCAAAAGTCCTGTTGTTGTGTTATCAAAAGATAAAATATCTAAAATTTTGAAGTTGAAAAAAGAGTTTGGATTAAAGAACTTACATATTCTAATCAGTATGGATGAATTAACTTTTGAGAATGATTTTGGACTAATACAATATTCTGATAGTCTTGGAATTCAATTGATTGATTTTTCAAAAGTTGAAACATTGGGTGAAATCAATCAATTACCAAAAGACTTTAATCTACCAAAACCTTCAACGATCTATACAATTTCGTTTACCTCAGGTACAACTGGTCCTCCAAAAGGTGTTTTGATTGATCACAGAATAGCAATATCTGGTATAACTGCAACATTCATTCATTTCAAGAAACCAATAAACAATATTGATGAAGAAACTTATTACAACTTTGCAAGTAATATTGATAATAATGGTAAACAAATTCGTGCTTTAAGTTATCTACCATTGGCTCACATTTATGAGCGAATGCTAATCAATTGGGCAACTTTCAGAGGATTTGCTATTGCATTCCCATCAAAACCTGGTACAGCTTCATTGTTTGAAGATCTCAGGGTTTTACAACCACATTATTTCACTGGTGTTCCAAGGGTATATTCAAGAATTGAAACTTCAATTAAAGCACATATTTCAAGTTTAAATCCTATTGGTAAAAAGGCATTTGAACTATCAATGACATCAAATACATGGTATAATATCCTTGTGGGTCAATTGTCTAAATTGAAAGAACAATTGGGTTTCCAAAATGTACACTATTGTACTAGTGCTAGTGCACCAATGTCACCACATTCAATAAAATTTCTTAAAGATTCCCTCCATATTGGTTTTGAAAATTCTTATGGATTAACCGAATCATTTGCTGTCATGTCCTGTGATGATCCATTTGGTGATGCTTATATGGGTAATGTTGGACCACCTTGCGTTTCTACTGAAATGAGATTGAAAGATGTTGAAGCTATGGGATATAGTGCTAGTGATGACCCACCACGAGGTGAATTACAATTACGTGGGCCTCAAATTTACTTGGGTTATTATAAAAATACAAAATCTACAAAAGAAGTTCTTGGTGAAGATGGATGGTTTAGTACTGGTGATATTGCAACATTTGATTCAAATGGACGTATAATTGTGATTGATAGGGTTAAGAACTTTTTCAAGTTGAGTCAAGGTGAATATATTACACCTGAAAAGGTAGAAAATACTTATTTAACAAGCAATCAATTATTAACTCAGATGTTTGTGCATGGTGATTCAATGAAGAACTATCTTGTTGGGGTCGCTGGTGTCGAGCCTGAATCTTTCAAAAAATTTTTGAAGGAAAATCTTGATGTTGAAGTGATAGATAATAACCATTTGAGGGTACATCTTGAAGATCCTAGGGTTAGGAAAAGTATTTTGGCCCTTTTGAATACTAATGCAATGAATAAAGGTGTTCTACAAGGGTTTGAAAAACTCCATAACCTTTATCTAGATATTGAACCACTAAAAGTTGAAGATGAAGTACTGACACCAACATTTAAGTTGAAAAGGGTACAAGCGGTGAGAAAGTTTAAGCAGGTGTTAGATAATCTTTACCATGAGGGTTCGCTTGTTGATTCTGTGGGGAAACTCTAAAAATATTTAGCATGTAAACTGAATATTTATATTCAATTTTTTTGATAAAATTAACCTCTAGCAAGACGACGTATATAGCACAATAATCTCGACGTCGACTTATTTATAGTTATCATTAATACATATAATATATAATGACGTACATATGACGTACACGATCTGATAACACTGAGTCAGATTAATTATTTATAGTACAGCTCATGGACATTAACATGTTAAGCAAAATATATTGCATATTAGATTATTCTTTATGAAGGCTATAGTCGGATATAGCTATTAATACAAATAAGTTATAATACATAACTTCTTTAAAGCAAACCTGCTTTGTTGTTTTGACGCCGTTGTTATTATTGTATTCAATTTTGAATATTTCGACTCTTTTCTTTTGTTGTGCTATTGAAGACTGAAGTCCTAGTGAAGATCGAATAATTGCAATGAAATTCTCGGGAACTATGGATAATGATCAGCGATGAAAGCATGAAACTACGAGATCGAGTTATAATAATAGAACATAGATCGAACATCGATTATACAAAGTTACAAACCATTAACTTCAGGATCACAGTAAGATCGTGACTTTTTCTTATGAAGCTGCATGCCTTTTCAAGCCAAGTATATCGATTACAAGCGTTAGCAAGTACGTATCGCCTCCACAAATGCTCAACTCGTACCGATCCAAATCATTAAACCATACATTTGAAATTCTGCAGTGCGCCTAAAATCCCTTCTTTATATACCACATGTACCTCAAACTTTGAACTGACATAAAACTGGGTGATCATTTCTATTTTAAACTCATGTCAACCGTTCAAAAATTAAAATAATAATAGAAACCCGTCTATGCATCTAAATTTGTTACAAATACGTCATTTTGGGGAATTAATTGTAGTACCGATAATACCCATCGACCTATTGAATATTGAATAATAAACAAAAGGATGTATAACATCTTGAATCAATTGGTTTATGATTCTTCTATTTTTAACTTGATGAAAAAGTATAAAGGTAGCTCGATATCCCAGATCTCTAGAGGTTTTTGAATTA